CACACTAAGAATATTGTATGAGGACAGTGGTAACTCTGGTATCTTATTGTCAAAAGATAAAAGACGAATCGCTGGCTCCTGGAATAGAGAGCCAGCATCTAGCTATTCTATATAGACAACGGGCAGCCATCCTCCCCTCACTCTATGAGCGAGGGTAGCCGAAGCAACTCCGCAGTGGCGCTGCATTGATCTGCCAGAAGGAATCTACTGACCCCGTATAGAAACAGGATTCTCATATCCCATCAATCGGATCCTCTTCTATTGCATCCGAATGATGTCATAGGGTGGTTGGAAACCGGTTCGGACACCTGCGTGACGTCATGGGATAGATGGGATTATCCGAGGGGAAGCGATGGGCCGTGTGGAGCCGTCACGGGGCCTTGGCACAACCAAGGGTGTGACAGATAGATTGTAATGCACTTGTTTATTATTTCCTTATTATTATATTATCTTTGTTTATATCTTCGTCTATTCTTACCTCTTTCCATTATACTCTCGCTACCACTATTTCTATATGTATATATATATAGATGCATGTATTTCGCACATCTTCTTTCTCTTTCTTTTCCTCCTTAGCAATTAGCTACAACTTCAACTACATTACTACTACTACTATAATTATTATTATCTTCCACTACACTATATACTATCTTCCACTACACTATATACTATCTTCTACTATTCACTCTTCACACTGTCATCACCCCTCACATAGATACATGATTTGAATTATCATCATTTTCATCATAAATCTATAATGAAGAAGATGATGAGATTCAGTGTTTAAAAGCATCAAAAATTTAATCAGAATTTTATAAATATATGCTGTATAAAACTCATTCTGCAGTTATTGTATCAAATTTAAAAACTTGTTTTCACATAATTAGAAGATCTTGTAAGAAACTGCTGTTTTTCATACTTATTAAAATCATGATACACAGTGTTGTTGACTGTTTTTGAATGATAATACTTATATTACTGAAACAATAGATTATTCAGAGATTGTAATAAATAAATAATATGTAAAAAAAATTTATATAAAATTATTTTATGAAGATCTGCATATTGTATGAACTTTTTTATGATATGAAATTTATAATTATTCATTAAAAGCAATCAATGAGTTCTCTACTACTTCGTTTTTGTAACAATATTAAAATGTTTGAATCATTCAAAATCAATCTCATCATTTATGAATCTAGTATTCAATATAACAATTCTATAATTACTGAGTAAATTCATCTGTGTATATCAATCCTTTAAGTATGTTTTTGAGGCCAAGATCATCAACAATGAAATGATATGATTATTTATGAATACACATTTAATAAATATGATCAATTCTTTTGAAAAGGAAGAAAAAATGATGAAATTGATTTCTTTAAAAACAATTATAACTCATTCTTCACATTTTTAATTTTCTTGAAATTCAATCTCATCAAAGTTGTACATATTGCAGGTGTGAAATCAATACTGTTTAAATAGAATTCAAAAACATTCAAATCATATATTGATATAGTTAATATCTTCAACTGTCATTTTCTTTGAATTCATGAGCTTCTGCTTTACTTTTTTATATTCAGATAAATGTTCAATGAATCTATAAATTCACATTTTACTGATTTTTAAAGAGGAGGTAGTAGAATCTGTATGCTGATGTCTGAGAATTGAATTCATGAAATTTTCAATGTGTTCAACTGTGAGAAGACAATTCAATTTATTTAATAATTTGATTCATTGTTTAATCACATTCTTCTGACTTTCATTTAATCTTTTATTAACTGGGGTCTTTGCAGTATTCAGATTTCTCTCATTGATACATACTCAGAGATATTGATAAGAGACCTCAAATTCTCACAACAGAGACAGTATTTTGGAATTTGAGTTTTTTTGATGATAAGCAACAGCTTTTTGCATGCATTTTTCAATTGTTTTATCCTTATTTGACATTGTGGTGGGTTATTAATTAATTAAGAAGATGAGAATGATGAAATTACAAGATATTTATCATTTCAGTGTTTTTATCATTTTGATGTGGCGCACCCACACGAGGTGTGGGTGCGCAGCGGCACGGTTAGTAGGTAGTTATGCCTTGAGACATAACTCCATGCGTTCAAGTAAGGAAAGGATACTTTTGGGTTGACCGATGCCACGTGCTGTGTCCTGCTATCCAGTGGTGTATGCATACAGATATGTATTCGATATAGGTGTTATCTCATCTGAGCTATTTCTGTGTGCGTGAGCTGCGTTTCATGCTTGGGGCACGGGAATGGATGTGAGGCAGGAGGGTGTGGTCGAGTATCATCGACATGTAGAATTGAACTCCAACACTCGGGATATTGGTATTTGGAGAAAAGTAATACGTATATTTTGCAGCCCCAAATTTCCACAGAAGGGAAACAAAAGTGAAGGTACGGAAAGGCTTGTTTTTGATTTAATTATTCTCTTTTGCTTGTAGTCAGTGATGATGGTGAAGATGTGAATGATGAAGGCTCGCGCCTTGTCTGGTGATAGCTCTAGATTTATCTTTCTTTGTATGTGATGGGAATCAAGAGGGAAGCGAAAAAAGTAATGGCACAGGGTATTATGGGGAACAAACAACAAGGGAGAGAGAGTGAAAAGGAAGTATAATTGGGTTTCGTGTAGTAGGAAGGTTGAAGGTCGAAGTTGATGAGAAACGAGGCAGGGTTGACGAAATGAAAGATAGAAATGAAACATCGCTTGCTCGCTAGAGTACAGGGGTCAAAAAGGAAACATAGATGGGAAGACACTAAAAAAGAGAACAGACGCCTGAAACTAATTAAAAGAAATACCCCGAAGTTCCATTACCGGCAGCCCTGGTTTGCCGAGTTTCCCTGTCCCACCCATGTCCGTCCATTGCTGTCCAATGGTTGTTGTCCTTCTATATCCCAACCCAAAAAATAAATAAAAGCGAAGAGGGAAAATAATAATAATAATGAATAAGACTGAGAACTCTTGCCAATTTTGGCCGAGATGAGATGACTCTCTTTCTCGTCGTTGAATCCTGTCTTCAGTTTGGGGGCCAGCCAGCCGATGAAGAAGACAGGGCTAATCTGTGCGCGGCGGAAGAAAAAAGAAAAGCCCAGTTCAAAGGGAGAAAAACAAATTAAAGGGAAACATGGAAAATGGTAGGGTATTAAAAGTGTTGTACATGTACAGATGATTGATGCAGGAAGAGGAATAATGCAGAAAACCGAAGGCAAACGAAATACAGAAACCTGGGCTAGTACATGGGCAGGATATGCTAGAATGCTGATATACAAAAGGGATACAGAAAGGGAAAATGGAAAGAAAAGTCCATAACTCGGATGGATATAGTGGTACAAGGCAGTGGGCTAAGGCAGCAGGAGAATAAGGAGAATACTGTTTGGAGAAGCGGATTCGGAGTGAGAAGCACGTATTGCATCGACGGGAAGGACGAAGCGAGCATGCGGAAGATGAGCCGGAGTGGGATGGCTCAATTTGTTCGCCAACCCACTTGATCAAAAGGCAGTTGTGCGAAGAATTGTTTCCTTTGTTTGCCAATTGCGCCTCACTTTTCCGTCCCTGTGGAATTTAGCCGATGAAGATAAGGAATCGACCGTCGAGTTACTAAGACTTAAGGCGGTTTGTGCGGTCTTGTATTATTCCGCTTTCGCGTTCGTACCCAGAAAAGAGACTCGATCGGCTTTGTCTCAGCCTCCTGCTGGCGTAGTTGCTGCCCTCTACTTCCATCGGCTGCCTTCGAAGCCAGAACGTCTCGTCTCGTCGTAAGTGCGGCTTCCGTGGTTGTGTACGACTACTGCCGTTGGCTTCTTCGAGGCGGAATCCTTTTGCTGTTGTCCTGTAGAGATCGAGGACTTTAGTTAGTGAGTGCAGAAGTGATTAAAGGGCGCAGTGTTTTGTCTCAGAGGGGCTGCGAGTTCATATGCAAGGGCCAAGAAGCATAGAAGCATACCCTGTGCATCGCGTGAGGCATTGTGGATCTTGAGGCTTTTGCCATCTTGAGATGAAATTGCGCTGGATGAGTACGAGCTAACGACTTTGTGAGCCATTGTGGTGGTGGTGGTGGTTGTTGGTTTGGAGGAGATAGTTTCGTGGTGGGGTAAATGAAAAAGAGTTTGGTCGGGGTGGGATCGTTCGACACAGAGATAAGGGTTGTCGTGAGCAGTAAAGGTAGGAAGACCTGAGAAAGATATTGTTGTAGAAGTTGACAACGTAGGACAAGAAAGCTTCAGGGAAATATATATCAATAAGTAAGAGATCTAGTGGCTGAGGAGGTGTATGAGCCTGGCGCTGGTGAAGATGAAAAATATTGAGTTGAAGTTGGTTTGGTTATCTTATCATAGCGTAGATCTTAGAATGGAGAGAAAAATTTGGCGGGAGGGAGGAGCTTTTTATACTGGCAAATTCTGCTGTTGGTAACAGGCTGCAAAGACTGTTATTCCGTCCGCAGAAGAACTATCGCCAAAAGGAAGAGGAGTTCGTCAAAGCAAGGGATGCAATGCTCTCCACGATGCACAGCGTGACCGATCCAGGATCGCGGGGTAAGACAGGCAGCAGAGCAACAAAGAGGACAAAATTGGCAAGGCACCGAACGAAAAGCGCTTGGAAGATATTTCGGTGGCGGGAGAAGGAAATTGGGACGTGTTGGGGCTCGTGAAGAGAAAAGAATGAAGCGTCCTGTTCAGGCAGAACTTATTGGCCTGAGGAGAGCGGAAGTGGAAAGCGGCCATGGAAAGCGGCCACGGAAAGCAATCCAACTCGAGGAATGCTGCCTATCCCACTGATGCTGTCGTATGAAAAGATTCATGATAGAAGGGCTAGATTTGGCTTAGGGCGGTGCGATCAGAGCAGCTCCAGCAGGGCCTGAAATTTCGATTTGTTTGACAGCCCTGGGCACTCGAAACGGAAGAAGAGTTTCCTCAGCTAGGTGCGTCATCCTGATTCACCTTACATGAGCCTGTGAAAACCGCTATGGGAAGATCTGGTGCGCTGCTTCATGCCAGGGACGCCTCTTGGGCCTGCTTCATTGGGCCACTCGGATGCCTAAGCCAGCCAGCCGAAGCCCCAGGCAGCAGATGTTCCATTTGATCCACGCCCAGGGCTGGTTGGTATGGGCTTTGGATACCTGGTCGACAGCCTGAAATCATCACTGTTAACACCAGAACCGGTTAGCAGCGTTTTGCTTCTTACCTGCAGAACCCGGTAACAGCCCCCAGTTTATTTAGTAGTGTTGTGGAAATAATTTGCTATCCCTGATAATTGCACGGCCATCATAACGAAAGCTCGCGAATTCAGGACCTGGAGAGATTAAACAAACAAACCAAACAGTGAGCTACACAACAGGCTATGGGCAGCAGATTGGCAAATGTTTAAGCTCCATCGTCGTTGGGCTTCTGGGCATCTTCTTGAGGCAGAGAGATCCTTGAGAATCGGGGCAGGGTTAGGGCTAGGGCTCGCCCAATACGGCGTAGACTCCAGTCATATTGGGAAAAATGTCAAAATTTGCATTGTTCCACTTCTTTTTATTCGCTGTCGAAGAAATGAAGTACTGCTTGATTTGTAAATGCTCTATTACTTCCTTGTTTTACGCCTTATTCAACCGTTATACTAGTACTAGTATTTTCTACCCTCATTATTATTGGCTACATACGACTTGTTGCCGTGGATCGAGATCTCACCGACAACGCGGTGAGGGATGCAATCCTCTATGGCAACTGGTGGCTGAGTCGTGTACACTACGAGTGTGATTGCCGTTATGAACACGTGCGATCCGCTGACAAGCTTGCTATGCGAATTGCTGGCTACGACCGACGCGAGGGTGTGGGTGTCTCTGACATCCGAGGCCGAGTGAAATATAAAGAGGCTCTGTGAAGGGATCTGTTACGGTGAATGCCCAGTGTTGTGCGGAGGGCAACGGCTTATATGGCCACATCCGCGTTCAGTTGCCAACGAATCTACCCTGTTTGTCTTTTACTTTGTTTGCGAGCCATATGCAACGGGCCTCTGGTGTTTTTGTCAGCCATGAAATGCGCAGGGGCGGTTGATGTGGTCTATTATTATCCATCATTAGCAAGAATAGACACTTGGCCAGAGCCACCTTAATTTCATGTGTCTTTGTGTATCTTTGCTGCGTAAACTGGAACATTACACAGTATGCAGTACGGAGTATTGCTACGCCTATCCGCAGCCAAAAACACATTCATTTGAGAGAACAGTGGGCTTGGGAGTTAGAAATCACTGCCGCAAGCCAAGATTGGAGGGATATGTGGGGATGGAGGTATCCTGCCAGAGCTTAAGAGAGGTGCAACTGTGGCTTATCATATTCCACTTTATTCAACATGCCTGGCTGGCGAGTTCGCCACTTGATCAGTGTCAGGGCGGTATTTACCATTTTCGATGTAATTTTGCCCTGTAACAGGCGAACTGCCACATCAGAGAAGGGCGAGGTTTTGTGGCTGTCAAATCACAGCCTACCAGGTGTTCATGATTTGGGGCATCGCTTTAGTTAAGACACGGCGAGATTTAGGGGCTCCCTCCACTGAACCACCTAGCTGAACCTTTAAACCAACTCAACTAAAACCGCTGCCTTTGCTCTAACTGTAGGGATACCCTGCCTTTTGTGAAACTGAGGCGCCCGAGAACATCAAATCTTAAATCACCCAACCTTCTGCCGCTAACTACTATCGACTATGCTGGCACGCAAGGAAGTTATCCTAATGGAGAGGAAATGTCCGGGAGCTCCTCGTAGTGGATGTTTCTTGATCATGATCTGACCGCCTTTTCCCACGTCTGATGTATGTAAAACCGCAGAACTCCAGTTTGGCGTGCCGAAGAATTTGACTGGATAAAATAGTTATGTGAGCAATGTGTTCCCATGACAAACACGGCATTCGCCCAAGGTATTGAGGTTTGTTTGTCCTGTTGGCTCCTTTGGCAGGGCAAGGGAGAGGCTTAGGGATTACTTAGTGATAAACCCATGCAATGGCCGTCCATAGGACACCTCGGCTCCTTTCCATTGTTTAAAGGGCCCTTTTTTTTCTTTTCTTTTTTCTTTTCTAACTATTTCCGGCACATCTTGTAGCCACAGCCCAACATCTTGGCCTTGCACATCGCATTTCTTGCCGTGAGGCTGTACGTGGCACCTGTAGGAAGCACGCCTCTGAGCTGTCAATTCTGGACCCTAGGACTTCTTTAACTCGAGTATTTCCGCTTGTTTGTGATTCTGCTTTGACTTTCTTTCTTTCTCTTCGCCAGTTTTATCATTGATCTTTTCCCCCGTTATTCATTCACCGCCTTTCGTTCGTGGCAAGTCCAAATTCAAGGAATCTGGACCTAGGGCATCGAATCGCTCGCCTCAATGCCCGCCGGTTAGTTAGAGATTTTTTTAAAAAAGATCAGATATTAAATCCAAAAAAAGAAATTTTGGTTTTAAAAATATCAAGATGTCCTGTGTGACTGGATTTCAAGGATTATACACAAGCCTCGATATCCCCATGAGAAAAAAACTGACAGGGTCAGCAAAGCGAGAAGAGGACAAAGACAAACTGAAATGATGATGGGAAAAAGAGGCGACAAAAGCCAGGCGGAGGAGGAGGGAACGAGGCGGTGGTGCAAATGCGATATTTCCATCTGCCCTGCCACGTTCTTGACAACGACGGCGACTTGTTGGATTCCCCCCGAAACCCCCGAAGCCTTGTGATACGACCTGGATGACAGTATTCTTGTTTGTTTAATAACGATTTCAATATTTCGTCAGACGCTTCATTATGCTTCTGGTGCCATTTTGCCATTTGATCTCGCCTTGTCGAGGCATCCAATCGCAGATCTCCCATGCTGCGAGTTCTATTTGGTGATAATATACCCTTGTTATGGTAGTTTCTGACCTCATTTTGGCATTTGGTTCTAGCCTCACTGTTGTGATTCGCGGGCATTTTTGAATCAGGCTGAACGCTTATTCAAATGAATCTACCCCTATCTTTGATTTTCTGTTCGTTTTGAGATGCTATACAAGCGGGCCCACTTGCCTCGTGGACTTCCTTTGCAGTGAGGATTTCGGTTAATTGTCTCTGTAGGTCGATACGAAAGTGGTGGCATGAAATAATAGTTTTCCTTGAAACATATTTTTTGTTGCTTTGAATACATTTGCCATTCTTATCCTGAACGGGGTTTTGACTGGATAATTGGAAATAAAATGACCTTCTCTTTGAGATCATTTTTTACTTTTATTTTAAGTCGTGATTCTGAACGATGACAACAGGCTTTCAATCAATATCCCATCCTCTAGATGAAGAAATGAAATCAGCTATTAACTTATCGCCGCTTGTTTTAACGGTATTTTAGCGTCAGAATTCCAGTTGGATGTTCGCTCTGTTCTTGAATGTTGGTTGCCACATGAAAACGATTTTCGACAGATGTCAGTCAAATATTCATTGTTTGATGACCAGCAATGGCAAGACTCCTGCCTGGGATTTATTGAATTGATGAGCCACTTCGACATCCTTTCACATATGTAAAATAATATCTTATTGCTTTGTGATTTAGCCTTTTCCCACTCTGAATTGGACAGAGATAGAGTTGAAAATCCAGCCGTTCAATGATATAACAATTAAATAGTGTCACATAGGATATATCATCCCTGCTTTACCAGGACATGAAGGCTGCAGGCTTGAACACCTCCACGACTCCTTGAGTGCGATTGAGAGATTACGGATATTTTCAGCCAACTCCGAAATATTGTCGATTCATAATTCAAAAGGGCCGTGTATCGGTATTTCATCAGCACAGTCACGAAGGAGCGGATCAGCGTCATGTCCAAGGAGACGTTGGAATATTGATTCGTTCTATAAATCATGGCACAGTGAAGGGTGCGATAATGTCCTTCGTCGGTCCTACATTGGGACCCGCTCCATACCTCAGAAGGAGATTAGCAATATGCACATACCCTGCGCTCACAGCAACGATAGGAGGGTATACACAATTTTGGTTGGAGGAAGCGCCTGAGTTGACGAGTTGCTGAAAATTTTGTCCGCTGCCTTTCTCTACCTATCTGCATAGGATTAGCGGGATTGTCATATAAGCTTAGTTACCCATCGTGATCGCAGAGACTGGGATCAAAGTGCTTTGGATGGGGGATACTGACCATCAATTGCTTCAATGTGGAGCAAGAATCGCTCATTAGAGCCCACGGAGTCAAGTTCAGTTCCTCCAACAAAGAAGAATATCCACAACTTCCCTGTGCCCAGAGTGCACTACATAAATGTAGTGCTATAAATCTGGCGATGTCCTGTGTCGCGATATCGACGGCACCAGTGTCAGGAGGAGCATTGATATCGGGGCTATAATCTTCCCCACACAGCGCGCGGAGCACAGGCATGTCCCGTACTTCGAGCAAAGACGGGTCAGCCCCTAAAGAACAAATAACTTGGCCGCTTAAGCGTTCCTTCCGCTGGGCCCTGGCAGAGCAATTATCGACACAGAGGAACAACGTGGATGTCCAGCACCACAGCATTGGCTAGGACAGTCCGTCGATGCACGTCGACAGTCGAACTCCCGCATTCATAAGGGATTCTGCCATCCATTAAATATAACCTCCAGCTGCTGCCACAAAGTGCACCGGTGAATGCTGAAAGTGGAAGTATTCCTGCGAAGGAGCAACTGCGACGTTATGCTGGATTGCGGATTCCCTCGATCCTCAGCGCCAGTTAGGCCTCTCTTGATCTAATTTGAATAAATACTAGTAAGTAAAAACGGGAATAATTTGCATTGTGAACAAAAGTGCGTTGGAGAGTAACGTTTGATGCCATTGCACAACTATATTTTGGTAGGACTATGTCAAATGTTTCAGGATTTTAAATAGTTGGGTTTGTCATCGATTCGGAAGTTAATTTTATTTAGTCGCATAAATAAATATTTCGGGTGACCAAAGGAAGCTTCAAACAGCTTTTCTATCACCAGCTCTCGAATTTCAACCACCCGCTGCCCGGAGGCACAACCGACAATAGAAACTGAATAATAAGAGGGAAGAAAACAATAAATAAAAGGAATCTGATAATAACAAGGAACAATGCGCGCCCAATCCTTCGCCGCCTTTTTCTCCCTCTCCCTGTTCTCCCTTACCACCTCCGTCGTCGCTGAGCAGAACGGCCTCAAAATCGAGAAGACTCATGTCGTCGAATGCAACCGCCGCAGTGCGGTCGGTGATGTCCTCTCAATGCACTATCGCGGCACCTTAGCCTCCGACGGCTCCCAATTCGACGCCAGCTACGACCGCGGCCAGCCATTGGTGTTCACCGTTGGCAAGGGCCAAGTTATCGCAGGGTGTGTATGACATTTTAGAAGTTCTTTTATTTTTATTCTATTTCCCCTTGAAACGACATAGCGGCTAAACCGGGTGCTGCTTCTGCGTTTAGATGGGACCAAGGCCTGCTTGACATGTGCGTTGGCGACAAGCGCAAACTCACCATTAGCCCCGAGCTGGCCTACGGCGAGCGCGGCATCGGACCCATCCCTGGCGGGGCCACTTTGATCTTTGAAACAGAGCTGGTAAACATCGAAGGTACGGCAAAGGATGAGCTTTGAAGTATGCTCTTCTTCTCTTTAGCCATGTGTGCTTCTGCACCTCCAAGTAATATCTCTGTCTGTATCTTTGGATACCGCGGGTAGACAACAAGCAAGGCAAATGCTTATTCTGCGGATTTTTACGCGTTTCTGCAGGACCTGGCCTCGAAAGCAGTGGTGGTGGTAATGGTGGTAATGGTGGTACCCTGTACCTGTGGTTCCTGATATTTCTTGTGCTCGGGGGAGGATATGCCTACTGGAGACGGAATGGGTTTTGCGGGTTGTCCGGCCGCCGGGCGTAGAGCATACGCCTGCGACGTCTGCTTAAGAGCTATGTCCTCTTTCATTGGAGCAGCTATTTGCGAATTCTATATTCTACAACGATCATGATTATTCTTCTGTGATTGTTACTGTCAAACGCTTTAATGTGTATGCATCATGTACAGGTATTGCTGTATATAGCGAAATGGGTGCAAGACTCAACAACAACCCTTTAAGAAACCTCGGTTGAAACAATGTGTAAAGAAAATCCTGGACCAATTTATCTACAAAGGCCTCAGTAGAAAAAGTAGGGAAAAAAAGCGTCTAGAAGCGCTATTGCGTGATCAATCCATTGCCTCCAAACTTCCGCCTCCACCGCCTACTTCATAGCCTTCGCTCACCAGTATTCCAACCATACATTCCGCCAACATCCCATCCCAATTAACCCACGGATGAATCTCCGTAAAAAGCTTCTCGGAATCCCTCCCTGCCCCGCGAAGTATCTCTCCCTTCCCGCCCGGATGGAACGGGAGGTAGGGAGTTATGTTGTAAACTTTACCCATGTAGGATGTCCATGCGTCTCGCCCTTTCCTTCCATTATGCGCCTTCAATATCGACGGCGTTACACGAATGAGTGTCGGTGGAAGATTTTCCCCTCGCAACTTATGGTTGGGCTGGGAAGTTAATGCTGCCCAGTCGAGAGGTGAGCGGCCTGGTTCAAGTGCCACTTGGCGAGATGGCTGTGGTTTGCCTTGGACTTGGATTGGCGCGAGTGTGCTAGATGTGAGGCCTCGTGGTAGGGGCCCACGGAGGGTAGAGGCCGCGGATGGTGGAGGACGGAGTGGGGTGTTTAAAGAAGGTCGTGGAGGAGGTAACATGGTACCAGTCCTGGATGCTATGGATGCATTTTGGTTTTGGTTTCTTGGTGTCGGCGGGGGTAGTGGGCGCGTAAGAGTAGTTTTTTTGGAGGCATTGCTCGTCGTGGGGGATGGTGAGGGTTGGCTGGGAGTAGTTGAGAATGGGGGACGATTTTGCGAGAGGCTTATGGTATTGCTGGAGTTCAACGAGATATCTAGTCTTTCATCGACCACAGCGGGGCTTTCTAAATTGAAAGTTGGCACGTCCACTAACGGTAGCTGCTCCGGAGTTGCTTTTGGAGTTGAGTCTTCGAGTTGCGAATCTGATCGGTGTTCACCATCCTTCGATGCCTCCCCATCCAACCCAGAAGCTTCCGATCGAATAGGTTGTGGGGCTTGTGATGAAGGAATATCCGGTGTAGCGGGTCTAATTCGAAGCAAATTGTACAACGGAGCAAGGCTCCACGTTCCTAGAGGATGCTTGAATAGCAAAAACGAGACCGAGATAACAAATGTCCCTAGACTTATCCAACCCATGGAAATGTTGCTATTAAAGAGGAACGTGGATTCCTTGTTGAGATGGACAGCAAAGAAAATTCAATTGCATCATCTTTTTCGAGGTTAGTGATTCATAGTCACGTGGTAAGGTGGGTAATGTGCATTGAAAAGTTCAGTGTTCTCTTCAAGTATGATTATGATTATAATTATGTATATTCGCTATTCTGAATTTTTTTTCTGACATAAAATGAAATCTAGCATTCTTGTAGATGCATATGCACGAGCCCTTATCGTTTTGAAACAGTTCTTGGATGAGAAACGTTGAAGGATCTAACCAGGGGAAAGGAAATAATAAATAATGCAAACTGTTCACAGTTAATTGAACACCGCATATAACCTATGGAATAATTTCAAAAGGAAGAGAGCAAACAAAAACAAATCTGGCGAACTAATAGCTCATGATAGGAAGCAAAAATTTCCTCCAAACACAAACTTGACTTCAAGATAATTACAATTTTCCGCCAGTATCACAATATACTATACTATAAACTATCATATTCGCTCTTAAGTAGCTAACCCCGAATATCAAAAATCCTCGCGCTAAAACTCACGGTTCTCCTAATTGTCGGAGACTGCCTGACACCGGTCAGTAACCATGTGTTCTCTGTGGCAAAATAAACCATCCTCTAATATGCTACAGAAAAAGCAGGCATAAAGAAGCTGGGTCGCAAAAGGAACGCAGATAGCAAAGCGAGGACTTGTTGTTCGGTTTCACAATCCAGACCCCGAAAAAAAGTTGTCAACAGCCACGAAGTGAAGGGTTTGAAAAGGGTCGAGTTTTATGGCAACGGAGACATGAGCCACACAGGTCAGACCTTGTGGGTTTTCACATCTCAGCTCAGAAAAGCCTTCAAACCGCCTCTTCCCGAGTATAGTCGGCTACAGCGATCGATTAGACTGAACGAGGATAAAATCCATATATTCGGGTAACCTCGGCCAGGTAATAAAAAGACCAATGTCAAGAAAACGAAGCTGGTTTCATGCCGTTAAATGCTTCCTTGATCAATTTCAGACGTCAAAAGAATAGATCACCAGTTCCGGCAGCTAAGTAAAAGCCGCTGGATTAGGCCATCTGTTCAAGGGACCCAAAGTTTGCCACGGCCTCGAGTCGAGCCGCGAAGCGGGATGCCGCGAGGAGCTCCACGGCGCTGCCCGCGCGGGCTGGAACCAGAAAATGCTCGCGGAAGACTTTCGTTTGAGGAAGTGATTTCCGCCGGGGGGCTCGTCCTCGTAGTGCCAAAATTGCGACTAAATGAATTAGGGTCGATGGGAGTTGACGGAACTTCAACAATCGCCTCAGGAGTGATTTGACTTTTTGTTTTGACGTTACCACCATTCATATTGGTACTAGCAACCCGATTACTCGCAGCTGATTTATGAGTGGCTGGGCGTTTAATTGTTGTGCCACGAGAGGCGGATTTCCCTGGCCCACGGGGAACAAATACAAGCACGTCCTCATCACTCTCGTCCTCGTATGAAAGTAGCCGCTCGGGTTCCACAGATTGGTTCCTTTCAATGTATTTGCAGTGGTTTTTGAACTCTTTTTCCTCGTAGATGATGGCGGTACGCAACTGGTGGATATTTTTTGTGGTAATGCCAAATTTCTGGGCCCATGTCTGTGTGGTTAGATCATTAGTAATAAGAATGCATCTGTTTACCCCTGGCGTTGCGCCAGGTTGGCAGTGTAGGCGCCAGAGGACTGCACTAAGTAGTGGTTTGATGGTCGCTGGCACTGACGGGATAACAGATCCAGAGGCAGAGCGGCGGTGTGAATTTACGGAGCCCTTGACATTCGATTTAGGCGAAGGAGCCGCAGCAAGATTAGCAGCCATGTATTTGGGACTTGTGTGCGAACTTCCCGAGACAAGGGACGCAGCATTGCTGCCAGTCCCGCCAGAAATTACGGACACCGCGTCAGGTTCCTTCTTGAAATTAAGTTTGCTTAGGAGCAATTGTGACATCTCATTAGGATTTGCAGTCTCCGTATGCTCGGTTTCGGCCTCTCCGTTCTTCATGTCCTTGTGTGGAGCCTTTTCATCGCTGTCGGCATCACCCTCCGAGTGATCTTCAACGTCCTCTTCGAATTCTGGAAGAAAGTACTTTTCTGCTGCTTCCCATGTTTCGAACAGCTCCATAGGACCCTGAAGTGCAATCCTCGAGGATGGGATCTCATGTTTGCCAGATGTGACCCGATCGAGGAAGCGAACGGCTTCCCTGGCATTCATGCCGATCTGAGAGCCAGATCGCTTCAAAGCCCGGAGACGTTCAAGGGCTAGTGGATGTTAGCAACAAGATGTAGAGGTTAAATAGATAATAACCTGGAAAGCCGCCGGGACATACTGTAGAGTGGAACGATGAGAGTGATGGCGCCGGATGAAGTCCATTTCTTGATTTCGCTGATATTAGTAGTAAGGGCGGTATCGTCAACGACGCAGCGAAAAATTTTTCGGCCGGCCGACATGCCGTCTATTATATGGCTCTTCTCCGAAAGGTTTAGGGTGTATTAAAAGGTTTTATTTTTGTATGGTTGTGCACTTTGGTCTTTTAATATATCATATATCACGAAGTATTCATGAACTTTGTATTAACTGTTACGCAGGATGATTCAGTTAGCAAACACATACTGAGTCCAATATGATACTCGACCAATCCTCGATCGGAACTAGAAGTACAGCACGATAATTTTGGAGAAAAGAGTACTGCAAATTGAAGAAGTGAAGGAGAGAAAAATCATACTGACCGCAAGAAATATAGCCACAGAAGGCAGTTGCAGGAAGCATTTTCGCTTTTCTAGAAAACGAGTTGGGCACAGGAAGATTCGTGAGAAGGTATCACACTGGCCCGGGTATCGCTGCGCGTATGGACAGAGCAGCGCGGTGAATGCCGGACATTTGATGGCCGCTGCTGGTGGTGGATGTGACGAAGATGAGGACGAGGAGACTGGATTGAGGGGATCTTGTCATGCTCGCTGACTAAGCTCCTGGCCAAGGTTGGCTCACAAAATTCCAGGCATAAAAGGTTAGTCAGAAAGCCTACTGAGCGATCCTAATTACTTGGTCCTAATTATTAGGAATAGGGTTTTATCTTGTCGCTAAGCTACGGAAAGAAGCGCTGGTATGGCCACAGCCGTCAAATTCGAAGAATAGAACAGAATAACTCTGCTATAGTCTTATAAGGTATATGAAGGCTCAGGGAGAGTTACAGTTAGGAGTCAGGAAGTCGGGGAAGTAGTTTAAACGGGAGAGAATGAACGGAGACAATTGTATCAAAAGACAGCAATGGAATACAAACGACAATCATGAATGAAGTTTTCATGAACACACATTTCGTGATACATGCAAGTCCAGCTCCCCGTACGGCCTGGTTACCTCTGACGGATCTCATGACTTTTGAATCAGGCCACTAGCCTCCGTCACTCTTTGAGCCCATTCCCTACGCAGATGTCAGTTCTGAGTCCGAACTCGAACACGGTGTAGTATGTATATGTACTCACGTCCAGCTCCCATCGTATATTCGCCTATTTCCAGGTGCGGTGTCGTCGGCCTCTTTCAAAGCAAGCTCGATAATGGCAGCTGTCACGCCGGTTCCACAGCTGCTGACAGTTGGTTCAGCCGGATTAATTCCCCTAGCCTCAAATATTTTGCGCAGCTCTGATGCCGGAAGCAATGCTTTGGTGTTGGCATCAAGGAGCTCCGAGAAGGGTAAGTTCGTAGAACCGGGCATATGGCCTGACGGGAGGCCAGGGCGGGGCTCGTTGTCTTTCCCCGTAAATCTGCCCGCCGATCTGGCATCAAGAATGTGGATACCCTCCGAAGACTCCTTGCCATGGCTCTCGGCAATTTCTTTCATCTCCGTGAAATGCACAACCATTCTTGGATTGAAATCGCCCACAGTGTAGTTAGATCGCTCTTCAGGGGAAACATCTCCAGACTCAGTTGGATATCCTTCCTGGACCCATATTTTGAAATTGTTAAGGACATGGACATTGCTGTGCCCAAACACCCTCAATGTCCAGCCCACCCGAGGCGCACTGAAGAGTCCTACCTCCTCGGAGTCATATACCACAATTTGATCATCTCTGCAAATTCCCAGAGACTGCATAGCTTCTTGAAAACTTTCTTTGCTAGGCAACATGTGTGGATACGGGGAATCGTGATCCTTCACCGCATCAATGTCGAAGAAGCGGGCATGTGGGATGCGGCACTTTTTGAAGGCCTCAATACCCGTACGTTTCGCGGGATCATTGGGCATGAACCAGGTGGCACACAGCGGGATCACCCGCGGTGAGGTAGATATTTTGGTCCTCACATTTTTTTTAAGCGCATCATTGAGCTCCTTGGGCGTGACGAGATAGGATGAAAGGGAGATCGAGCGTCGCTGTGGGGAATGGGTGGATGTGGTAGAGGTAGACCTGTTGCGAGGAATCCTGGATGAGAAACCAAATGAACGAAGAGCTGCAAGAGCCATTTGCGGTAGATGGGAGTCTCTAAGCTGGGTTGTGTCGTGCATTTACATAACTGAAATTGATTCTTCTCGGAGGGTGAAAGGGAACTGGCAAAGCATCGTCAATGGGGAGAGGTAAAAGGTGTAACAAACACCTTGGAAACTCGTTGCTGCGAGACGCTAGTAAATAATTTAACTCTAAAGTCAACTTACAAGTTCTTACAACATACTAATAGAGTAGGGATCATTCTGGCCCTCTTGTGACAAAATGTGCCTAAAATTTAGGTGATCATGCGAACTAGTTAAGGAATGCTTTATTATTCTAGACCTCGTCCCTCAGTCTTGGGATGGAACTCTTTGTTACTGGTTACTGGTTACTGATAATTGAATTTTCATGTCGACTTTTGGACTGTGCAAGATCTTTTGTTCCAGCTCCCTATCACCCCTAAATTACGTAGTTATGATATGTTCTTGGCTGATTTTTAATTAAACAATACCATCTTCATGCTCTGCTTATCTCTGCCTATAATTTTCTCCGTAATAGTTACGATCAGATCCACTTGGATGCTCAATGATATGCCCAAGCCTTAAGAAAACGATTCGTTACCGCTTAGTCACCATGTGACTCGTGACGCGAACCGTCAATGGAATGTTTGATAACAGCCTGAGAACAGAACTCTTCAACTAGGACAGAGGATATCGCCTTATGTAAATGGGGCAACTGGTTCTAGATTAGATTAGGAGTATGTGTGGATGTAGGGTAGAGCTATGTTTCTACCTGCCCTTCTGCGGCTCTCCATTGATAGAAACATCGTTGCTAACGGAAGCGCAGCAGGTTTATCTCCCTGAAACTGCCATACATTCGCAGATCCGCGGTCGCACCATTTGCGCTGTCCGTATGAAGGTCACTATTAAAGAATGGAACGCGGTGGCAACATGGAGATGGGATATGCCCGAGGACGAAGTCTGTGGAATATGTCGGGTACAGTTCGACGGGACGTGTCCTACATGTAAATATCCAGGAGACGATTGTTCATTATGTGGGTTACTTATGCCAACGAGAGCATGCAACTCGGGTTAGAGCACTGACGCAATTCTAGTAATCGGAAAATGCGGGCACTCCTTTCACATGGTAGAGTGCTACGATTTCCTTTCCCCGCGGCTTAGTGCCTAAAGGAAACTAATTTATCCCCCTTTCTTAGCATTGTCTCCTGACGTGGATTGGCCAGGAGTCTTCGAAAGGTCTATGTCCCATGTGCCGGCAAAGTAAGCGGCCCCTGGCGATAAGTTCTCAGCCCACTTATTGTCTCTATGCTGACACATCCATATCATTTAGAATTTGACTGGAAGCAAGGCGATGAGTGAAACCCATGGAATCCTTACCAGGCGTTTGGAACATGGAAATACCTGGGCTTCAGGAGAAACAGAACCGTAATCTCAGCAATGCAAAGCATTGGCGCAAGCAATGTGTAGGCCTACTGTTACTGGTTTTATATATTACTTGGGAACGTGGGCGCGGTATCAATTTCTAGGATATCGGAGTAGTATCGGATTTTTATTTCATTCCTTTTCATTTGATGTTCCTCAAGCACGAACCCTAAAAATAGACTCCGTCAAGGCCTTACTAAATATATACCATCATAGGTCAAAATTCGCAATAATCAAGCCATACATTTCAATTCAAAATGGTCGATGCAACCACACATTATTTTGCTTAAATTAATGAAAACATGATAATGGCCTGCTCTAAAAAAATGGCATATATTACTTTTCGATTATTTGTGGTTGTTGACTTATTCTACCTGCCTTTAAAGATATTGTACAGTCCTCCAGAGATGACACTGGATCACCTGACTCCTCTTTCGCCTTGATAACCACCACAGCACTCTACATTGGAAATTTCAACGTTCGTCAAACTTCGAGTCCGAAAAAATTCTACTATACTGGAACGTTTCCTTCAGAACGGCTTTGCTCATAGCCATGTAGTCTGAAGCCATCTTCAGAATGACCTCCCCCAACCACACTGATTATCTTCCACCACCTATAGCAGAACCATCCACTGGGCCACAAACAGCGCATTTGGAAGATAATACACCACTCAGGCAACCAGCTAAGGAGGATGACGAGGGACCCCTTCAGGAAGACCTTCGCACCTCAGTTTCTCATCAGTCACCATTCCGCCCGTTCTTCACTGTTATACAAGACGCTCACTCGTCCGAATACCATCACCCCACTGTGCACTATGTCTTCTCGGATGATGACACGGACCTAATAACAGAGGCTGCTCTGCGGACTCTGGAAGCTGGCAAGGGAAATAACTCTTTACAAGCCTCAGGCAATACCCATCTAAGAGAAGCAGGAGGAAATGAGGAAGCAAGGGCGTACGCAAGAATTTCTTCGCTGCCTCCCCCAATAAATGGCGTGCAAGAACACTACATAGTCGTCGATATACAACCTTCTCAGTTCGACGCTGTTGGGAATCATCCAGCGGAGTCCTCGAATGTCCATACAAGAGATACGGCCAATTCTACAGAAGGTCTAGAACACAACGTTGCAACACCCCCACCTGCCACGGAGGCTGCACAACCGCAATTCCCCTTTACCTTAGCTTCCGCCCATAGTCTAAGCCCATCCTGGCAAATCCTCAACACCCGCCTTTGCACAGCGCGCACATTTGATTCGTCTACGAATAGCCCCACCGCCGCTTCAGCGTCAGCAAACAACCGCTCCTCGTCGCCAGTTGGGGGCCTCATGCTTGAGATCGAAGGCACGTCCGTTGCCAGGTTTAACTCGTCGACTCATCGCTACCAACGGGACCAACATCATCAGCATCGCTTGGAAGAGATGATGGAACAATTTGAGAAGCGGATGGGAGAGTTACGGCAGGTTATTGCAGCAGGAGAAGCATACGTTGGTGACGAAGGCCAGAGCGAGAGGCTGGGAGTGACACAAACGCAAACCGCGATTGGGGAGGGATTTGAGAAGTGATATGAAGCTATCCATATATGAGTCATATGGTGGACCTGCCCTGGAAGGTCGAGTTCATGAGGGTAGAAGCCTGCTGATTTTGGGCGTTGACAAGCCTCATTCGACTTTAATTTTGTTGATATTTGGACCCGGCCCCCTTATGGCAGGACGATAGGCGGGTATATTTGCTTTTCCTAATTTGGAATAGAGGGAGGCGTTTGGTATGGGGCATTTGCTGGTTCATTGAATACTATATTTGTCCGTCGTTCGATATATTCCCTCGAGTTAATTTTCCAACTAAGACTTGATACCCGAAACTTAAGCGGTTACTATTGGTTAATAAAACGAACCATTTCAATTGTCTATGAAAATCTAAGTATGATGAAGGGCAACAAGTATTACGAAGGTTAAACTATTGTATAGTAATGCAATGAAGGAATATCCATGGATGCAATAACGTAGTAATAGGAGAACAGAACAATTTCACGAATGATATCCCAATAACGCCCAATGGCTCCAATGACAAATCTCAAAGAAATCAAATAGCCAAACCCCGGGGAATCTAAATATGATACTTCAGTGTTGTAATGAAAATAGTAAGGAAAAGGAAATTCTATGCTACCAAAGTTTTAATAATCAAGCAGGGCGCCTTCTCAACCTCCGCTCTTGCACGAGCTGGTTCTCGAACTGTATCGACAGAAGCTCGTTTTCACCACCCTCCATAATCATTCCCAGACCATTCAACGTGGAGTTCCTCCTACCAGTGACCTTTTGGGGCAATTTACTAGCTCCCGGAATAATATCAGACTTCGCCAGAGGTGACGAAGTAGATCGTCTCTTCGATGGAGGAGGAATGAGATCCTTACACGTGGTATCTCCTGAAATTTCATTCGGGCACGATCTGAATGATGACGCAAAATCTGTAGATTGGGTGAAAGAAGCGCTAGAGCGCGGTTTCACGGCGACGTTTATATCGACCTCCCTAAGCCCCGCAGACGAGGAAGACGTTGGCTTGACGTTCATTTTGGTAAGGGGATTGTTGGACCCTACCTCGTTGCCGCCATCTTGGTAAACCATGGCTTTAGTGGGAGACTTAACTGGAGAGAGGAACAGACGATTAGAATGGATAGTGGGGGGAGCGTTGTTATCCGTTGAGTTTTCATCCTGTTCCTCGATTCCCCTCATTCTCGCTATGAGGGTACCATGTGGCTCGGTTCGCGGGAGAGTAGATGGGTAATCATACTGCGTTTTCTCGGGCGTCTCTCCAGTTTTGGTATATTCTGTAAGTGACCTGGATTGGAAGTTCGATTGCAGCTCCTCAAGGGGTTTTCTAATATCCTCGGTGAGATTTTCAATTGGCTCCAGAATGGCTTCATTCTCATCGAGAACGTTATCCCGGAATGTTTTAGCTTGGATGCCAAACACATCCAGGTTTTGATGGATGCCCTGGTACGATTCGCGGATAGTACATGTCAGATTCTCTAAGGTGCGGATCCGTGCCTCGTGATGGATTTCATTTTGCGATTTTGCTCTCATGACGAAGGTATCCAAAGCTTGCATTTGTGTCGCAATTCCTTCCATCTGAGTGTTGACAATCCCCTCAGTCTCCCGATGAACCGCTCTTGCAGTTTCTTGGATTTTATTGTTTCGTGAATCAAAGTGCTGGCAGAGGTTAGTTTAAAACTCTGGGGGTTGGTGAGGTGCAATGACGTACATTCCAATCATCATCAATTTTTCTTTGGATTGTTGACTCTGAAGAAAGAACACCTGTGATAATTTTATCTTCTTGGAACTCCCACTCATCCATTTTCTCGCCGAATTTAGTGTCTGCCTCTTTCAGTATATCATGAGAAGCTTCCATGTCCGAGCGGATACTGTTTACTTTGGCATCTAGTCGTTCCGACTGTGTCTTCGCTGATCTATCCAGTAGTATTTTTATTTCTGATAATAATGCGGTCCGCTCTGTTTCTGTTGCAGCTCGTTCTTCATCAAGGGTAGCTTGTAGCTTCAACATGGTTGCTTCGTTTATTCCGGTTGCTCGGCTGTTCGCTTCGTGCAACTGGTGCCGAAGCCTGTGAATATCTTCTTTTTGCAAACGGAGGCTACTGACAAGTATATCAATGACAGACTTAAACTCTTCACCAAGGGATATGTACGAGGAATGCAACTATAATTGTTAGCGCCACTGTATAATCGCTGAGAAAATATACGACTTACTTGACGGTGAAATCGCCCAAGCTCATTTATAACTTCCCCGGATATCCGTTCAGCTGCGGCAGAAAGTCCCCTCAATCCTTCGCTAATTTTCTCTTGAACATCTTCCCGTAGAATTTTGATTTCTTCCAGGACTTCATTCATTTCATTCCGACACTCGGTTGTTTGCTCCTTAGTTTCTATTTCGGCGCTCTCGAACAAAACTTCCGCCTGAGAAATAAACGAATGACTAGCATCGATACGACCTAGCTCTTGAGTGACAAAAGTTTCCATTCTAGCGGATAAATCTTCTAGAAGCTTTGACTGCTGACTTTGGAACGCTGCTATCCGCTCGTCCACCATTCTCGAAACATGCAATACTTCCGAGGTGGATGACTGCCACGTTTCCCTATTCAAGGCGTGCAGATCTGACCGTCGTCGTAGCTTCGAGTGGAGCCCGTCAGCATCGGCGACCGACTTTCCCAAGGTAGATATCAAGCTGGTTCCGATGTTGTAGAGGCTTTGTTCGGTTTCCTGGTGAGCTTTTCGTAACATGGATTCTTCCTCTAAGCTCTCCTTCGTGTTTTTGAGCACAATATCTGTTTTCTCTAAGAGGTCCTCCGTTTGGTCAAGTAAAAGCTTGGTGGATTCGTTATCCTTCTTTATGTCATTGAAATTGCTGGTTAAAGTAAACAGCTCTTGCACTTTATTCTTGAGGTTGGCTTCCATTGTTTCGATTTTTGCTCTTTGCTCTTCAATGAGGATGCGACGAGACTCGCTTTCAATGGTCATTTCCTCATATGCTCCAGACGAAAGATATACGCCATTTCTTTGCCGTGTCGCGATTAGTTCGCACTTCAATTTTTCAATCTCTGTCGTGAATTCTCGCAGCATAGTTTTCTTGGATATAGTGGAGTTGATTTGGGGTTTGTTGCGAATATTCTTCGCGCGGAATGCATAATCTAATGTTGAAATAGTTTCCTCCAGGTTGCTTCTTGCGGGAGATACCGTGGCTATAATACACGTTTTCGTACGGCCGCCTAAAGAATCTTGAAGCAGCCTCGTGAGCTTGGATTCCCTATTTAACGTCAGTGACAACCTCGAAGTGCATATTGATGGGAAACCAACCTGTATGGTATATGAGGGCCTCCATCTACCAGAGCATTAATTACTCTTCCCAGAGTGAGCAAGCTCTTGTTGATCAAACCCGCCTCAGTGGCTCGCTTGTTTTCTGCGCCACTGCGCTGGATATTCTCACTTCCAGCCAAGTCCACCAAGTTAAGTTTCCCGCTGCTAATGTATTCTTCACCCTTCTCTGTTTTTCGTTTTACGAACACAGTAATCGTAAACACCGTATGGCTTCGAGAGCTCAAGTCGTTGCATTTTGTAGCTGCTACTTGTCGTTTGTAGCTGCCCTCCTGAAGCAACTTGATGCCAGCCGAAGCAGAATGAATGTACGTTTCACCCATGCCCTGTACCATAGTGCCGTGATTGCCCTTCTTTGCGCCATCCTCATATATTTTCAGCTTTGTACCGTCCTCGGATGAAAGCAGATCTCGGAGTTCCTCGTTGTACAATTCGATAAATGAGCATTTGACAGAGCTTTCCATATCCTCAAGTTTCTTAAAAAGGGAATATAGCACGCGTGGGATGATCCCAGCAGCATCTGATAACAAACCAAGAGTGTCCTCCATATCACCAGACATCGTGTAGGTTTTACCTGTTCCCGTTTGGCCGTATGCAAATATAGTACAATTAAATCCTGAAAGCATCTAAAACTTCTGGTCAACTCTTGGGCTCGAGGTTACTTTTAGAAGCGTGCAAATAAATGAAACCGTACCTCATTCAAAATTGGAACCACGACATCCTCGTAGATAATTGCCTGATCTGCGGCTGGGGAAAACACCTTGTCGAAGTGATATTCTTTGTTTCCCATCGCGTTTGGCCCCATGGACAATTCTAGAGTTGTTCCCTTGACCCCTGGAGTTGATACAACCACGCCACTGTTTTCCTTGACTTCTCTATCATTCCTACCCCGACACCGTACAACAACATGAATGTTTGTCCGCTCAGCCGGTTGGAGTTCGGATTCCCTTTCCTTTCGCTTCAGTCCCGTACTTGGTTGCACGCTGGGTGATCGAATAGAACGAGTGGTGTTTGCATTGGAAGGCTTTAGAGCGGTGGCTGGAGAGTCTGCTCGCTCGCTGAGAATGGAGGCTCTAGTTCTCTGAAGTGGACGTGTCATGGCCTTCCGCAAGCCGCCCGCAGCGGTTTGGGAGCGTGTTGCTCCGGCCATGTGGGACAGGGTAAACAGTTAACTCTGCAAAATCTTGGTGAGGAAATGGGGGAGTGAGGCACGTCTGCAAAAGTCGTAGAATGCCAGCTCACGAAATAGGTATCTATATATATGCGCAATGAGAATAATGAATGATAGCGGCCGGAGAGCCGAGTGCGTCAAGAGCAGGAAGAGAGATACTGCCGTCATCGATATGGTTGTTTGGATGAGAACAGTTTGTTTCCCAATGCGGTAAAAGGTAAACAAATCGTTAACTGGTGTCTTACTAACACGGCCACACGTCACATGAACGCCGAGCCACGTGGATTGGATCATTCCCGAGCCGCTTGACTTCCATTTTGTCATGTCAAACGACATCCATGGAAACTATATATATATATCTCGATATTTACGCCAGAGACGGCTGTCAAACGGTGAACTCATTTCTACTCCTGATTCTCCTGCACATGCTACACGGCGTTGCGTGAACGTCTTAATACCCGAAAACGACTCAATATGACCGCCAAGCACGTATGACTTGGCTACCTCCAGCATCATGACCACCTCGAGAAATATGACCCCGGCTCAGATCTTCCCCGGAAGGGGGATTGGGTTTCTAAGTACGGTTGGCTATTATACGTATCATTGTGTTTAATTCCGTGCTAACTGTTCCTCCTTCATTAGCTTTGGGAGCCTCTCTACATCATACCATAACTCGCCTCAAAGCGCATCCCCATACTTACCCCTCCATCGACTTGTCCTACTCTTCGACCAATCCTATCCACTCCCCGATCCTTCTGAGCCTGCCAGAAAATGGCCTGCGACTGCGATTTGATGGTCCGGACCAAAGACTTCGTCTGATAGAAGTGCTAGATTTCACTAAGATTCCTCTCACGTATAAATCCCATGAGGTCCTCAAAGCCGCTAAGCCTACGGAGCAACCACCACAGCTAGGGCCAAGTTTTCGTCATATTTACAACCGCATGTTTGGGCCATCCTACCCAGGAGAATTCATTCCCGGTTCCTCAGGTTCAAAGTACGGCACCTATGTTCTTTCCTATCCCGGTATCGCTTTTTCATTTCCCTTGCTTCAGTCTGCGTGGTCCGAGCAATGCGATTTTGTATCTTTAATGTCGTCGGCGGCGGCATCTTCTGCTACTTCCATGGCTGTTTTCCAGGGATCATCGTGGGCGGATGGCCGTTCTAATATGTTAACGCGACAACCCCAATATCCAAGATCAACTGCTCTTGCGGGGAAAAATCGAGAATCTGTCGCTGATGAAATAGAGGAGGTTAAAATCCATGGCGCAGGAAGGATTGAGTTTTTCCGCAGATCGGGGCCATCGATCTGGATTTCCCTCTCTGAGACCACACCACAAGACCTCGTCGCGGAATTTGGTCCTCCAGATGCTATTTACCGGAAAAACGATAGGCGTATCTCAATTCATGGGACCCAGACACTTGGTAACACGAACCTTAGACGAACAAGCCCTTCGCCTGGCCGCACAGCTGACCCCACAGACATGGATCCTTTGTCTGAAACTAGCGTGACGGATGATTCAGACGGCGAGAATTCTCCCACTTTCCAGCACAATCGGGCTACGCTGGCAACTGAGTGTTTCTATAACTATTTTGATCACGGGTTCGATGCCTTTATCTCCCATCCAACGGTTTCTGGGCCACCGTTTCCAGGTTCATCACATCCGGAGACGTCCACAATCTCACCACCCCCGCAGTTAGCCGTAACAAAGATCCTTCTGCATGGGAACGTGCCAGGATCATACCCCTTCAACCGCCATAGGCGCAGCCGCTGGGTCCTGAATATTGATTCTGCCCGGGAACCTCTGACGTCGGAAACCCAATATGGCCAGCTATCAGACGAGTTGAAACGAATCTGGAAGGGTTCCTACTCGAGCGCATCTGAGGAAATGGCCCTTCAAAGAGGAATGGTCCTCAACCGTGGCTGGGGCGATAGTCCTGGAAGCAGTGTCGAGCTTCTTGGTGGCTGGGAAGATAGCTCTGCCAGCAAAGCTTGGACTGGTTCAGTAAATGACGGCGGTCAAACACTGGGGAATACTGAGCTGTTTGGATTTCCAGGTTTGCTTTTTGAAGTGCTGAAGAATGGAGCCATTAGTTGTTTGACTGTTTACTAATTTGGATTAATTATATTCCTTCATTTGCTTGCTTTCTGGGGCGTTAAAATGTGATGTTTGTGGGCGGCATGTGGACATGTATACTTGAGCATACATTATTCATGTTGTTTTATTATTGTATTAAACCATTTGTCTTAGAATTATCACACACACATATTGCAACAGTTGAGATTGTTGAGGATTGTATTCACAATAATTAACACTTGCCCAGAAAACACAAAAGCAGCAGAAAACCAGTCTAGTTACGTCATAGTCATTTTATCAAGGTTAGAAGCGCGCGGCTAACCATCGTCTGCGGCTTGATAAATTTACCGTATTTAGAGTTCGATATGCGTACTTTTTCTGCTGGTCAACCTTCAACATCTGAACAATCAACTCAATCCCTCAACCTAAAACTTCTAAACTACTAATATTCGAGCCTTCGACGCCCAGGCCGAGATATGCTGCAATAACAGGAACATGCCAGAGTTGCCACAATCCCTTGCTCGATCCTGGTCGTCGACGCTCAAACTTCCCAAGTCAACTTTTCCCCCTCGTGTTTCGTTGACCGACCAGGTCAAGTACTTAGAACGATGCACACATGACCTCTATAGCTGGCAGCAGCGCCACCGTCCGAATGAAAATCGATTCGTCCTTCATGATGGCCCTCCATATGCCAATGGCGACCTACATGTCGGTCATGCTTTGAATAAAATCCTAAAGGACATCATTTGTCGTGTGCAGTTGGCGGCTGGGAAGCGAGTTGATTATGTGCCAGGCTGGGATTGCCACGGACTACCAATTGAGTTGAAGGCATTGCAGACACAAAAGGGACTGGGGAGACTTGAAGCAGGTAGGAATGGAAACGGAGGTGCTGCAGCGATTCGTAGAGCGGCCAGGCAGCTGGCTGAAAAGACGGCTCTGGAACAGATGAAGGGTTTTCATAAGTGGGCAGTCATGGCGGATTGGAAGAATGCGTGGAAAACGATGGATAAGAGTTTCGAGAAAAGGCAGCTGGATGTATTTCTTAAAATGGTGGAGAAAGGCTTGATACATCGGCGATTCAAGCCTGTGTATTGGTCTCCTTCATCGCGCACAGCACTAGCAGAGGCTGAGTTGGAGTATAAAGAGGATCACAAATCTACAGCCGGACTAGTAAAATTTCCTCTTGTGTCCATGCCGTCTAAACTACGCGATATGCTACCATCAAATACCACCGAGATCTCGGCTGTCATCTGGACGACTACACCGTGGACATTGCCTGCCAATGCGGCCATCGCTGTGAGCCGTACCTTGGAATACTCTATTGTGAAATCGGAAAAGCATGGATATCTCGTTGTTGGCTCATCTCGGCGCGAATATATTCAAACGTTGTTACAAGGAGAGGAAGTAACAGTAATAGGCTCGCCAATTCTAGGTTGTGAGTTAGTTTCCGAATCCACATATCTCCCGCTTTTCAAGGACGGGTCCGTTCCCCAGCCCGTCATCGCTGCAGATTTTGTGACAGCGGATAGCGGTTCTGGTCTTGTTCATTGCGCTCCTGGTCATGGAATGGAGGATTATGAAGTTTGCCAAGCTCATGGGATCGCATCTCATACTCCGGTTGATGATGCAGGTTTGTTCACGGATGCGGCAATGCCTTTGAACCCTTCAATGCTTAGTGGGAAGTCTGTACTTGGCGATGGAAATCGAGAGGTTTTGCGATATGTGGAGAGCAAGGGCCAGCTACTTGCTAAACACACGTATGAGCATAAATACCCGTATGACTGGCGGTCAAAGCTCCCTGTGATAGTACGTGCTACTGAGCAGTGGTTCGCTGATGTTAGTGATATCCGTGACTATGCACTCCAGGCATTGGAAGATGTGCAATTTATTCCTTCAATGGGAAAGTCACGACTAGAGAGCTTCATTAAAAGTCGCAGCGAGTGGTGTATATCACGGCAGCGAGCTTGGGGAGTGCCGATTCCTGCTCTCTACAATCGAGAAACCGGGGAGGAAATTCTGACGAAGGAATCGGTGTCTCATATCTTGAAGGTTATCGACGAACGTGGAATCGACGCCTGGTGGACAGATGATGAAAACGACCCTACTTGGATTGCTGCTTCTATTAGGGAAACATCTTCTGGCGCTGCCTATAAACGAGGTACAGACACTATGGACGTGTGGTTTGATAGTGGATCCAGCTGGACGCAAGTGAAAACTCCCGCTTCGGTCGAAGGCTATGCGGCTGATGTGTACCTCGAAGGAACAGACCAGCATAGAGGGTGGTTTCAATCAAGCCTCTTGACATATATTGCTTACAATCTAGGCTTGGGGGGAAAAACTGGCATTTCTCGAGCGCCATTTAAAACCCTCATCACCCATGGATTTACTCTTGACAAAGATTCTCGGAAGATGAGTAAGTCGATTGGGAACGTGATTAGCCCAGATCAAATCTTGGATGGGACGCTTCTACCTCCATTGAAGTTGAAAAGGATGAAGGGAGAGGAAAAGAAGCCGACTGCGCCTGTATTTGACGCCCTGGGAACCGATGCGCTAAGGTTATGGGTCGCTAGCAGCGATTACACCAAGGACATAGTTATCAGTCAGCCTGTTCTTAAGACCGTCCACACCAACCTTCACAAGTACCGGGTAACATTCAAACTCCTTCTCGGATCTCTTCAAGATTTCGACCCCAGCTGCACAGTCCCACACGAGTCGTTACGCATTATTGACAAAATCGCACTGCTCCAGCTTCGAAAACTCATCAATATCTGCCAGGACGCATATTCAAGCTTTGAGTTCTACCGCGCAATCACAGCTATCAATAAATGGGCTAATTTAGACTTTTCGGCTTTCTACATCGAATCTCTCAAAGATCGCCTGTACGCTGATTGTCCCAATAGTCTTAGCAGAAGAGCCGCGCAGACAACCCTCTGCCACATATATTATCATTTCCAAAACCTCCTGGCGCCTTTGTTACCCAATCTCGTCGAAGAATCGTGGGAACACACACCGGAATTGATTAAAACCAAATTTGATCCCCCGTTACACCGCATCATGACCAAACCTCCACCTGAGTGGCAAAATGACGAACTGGAAGAAATATTCCCGCTACTTATGGCTATTAACACAGCAGTTAAAACCATGCAAGAAAACGCCCGCAATAGAAAGGAGATGGGTTCATCATTACAGACATTCGTGCACATCTCCGTCTCCTGTAGCGCCGCAGGGGCGTCAATCTTCGAAAAATTCGGCTATGAATTACAAGACCTCTTCGTCGTTTCTTCCGTTACTGTCGGGTACAATAATGCAGCACTTCCACCTGAAATCGAAGCTGCTGAGTGGAAATACAGCTCAGATTTCGAGTTCCCCGGCGGGAGTGCGCGCGGACATGTTTGGATATATACCCCACAAGCGATCAAGTGTGGTCGATGCTGGCGATATGCGGTGCCGTTGGAGCCTAAGCAGGACGATCCGTTGTGCCAGCGGTGCATAGATGTTGTGGGAGAGCTACCTAGGGTGAACCACGAGCTTACGGGTGCAGCTTCAACCAGTAACTGATACTGTGTGAATTAGTATTACGATATATTGCCGTTTTCATTGGTGATTTGTATGTATATAGACACTCTTGTACCATAGACCTACTATGCAGCTAACTCATTTTGTCCTCTTCTCTACTCTACTGCTTGAGTGATTTTCGTTTAACGGTTTTTGTTCCAACATCTGAGTGGAAGGCTGGCTCCACGACAACCAGTTAGGACCAGCAACAAGCGTTGCAACAGGCCAATCAAGCCGAATCCACAGGCAAGCTAATCATCATCCGATCTACCAGCCAAGTCCAGACAATGGATAATCTGTAAATATTGGCGATGTGGAGGCTCCTCTAATAACATAGGTGATTTACTGATTTACCTTACCTTATTTAATATATATCTTTCAATTAAGGAAGTTCCATTAATATCGACACCTAAATAGCTAGAACGAAAATGGGACGGAAGATTCGAGCCAAAAGTACTTCCCCAATCAATCATACCATCCGCCTTGCAGTTCATTCAAAAAGGCGCTATCAACATTGATAAAGCTCTTCCAATAATCCACTTCTAGTCTCCAAGGCTGAGTTTGCACAGCAAAAGTTACTGCCGACGTCAGCAAGAGCAGTTCTTCCTCATCCTCCGCAAGTATAAGTATCATATCCCGTTTAATCACAACTTTGTCTCGTAGAACTTTCTTGTAGGGATCAAGCCGCTGCTGAAGGTTGTTATGCATACTCCAGTCAGAGAATGGCATATCTTTTGGAATAAAGCGCCAGGACCACGCACGTCCTATCTCATCGATGAACGAGGTCCAGAGGCGATTGTCATAGCCAATCATCAGAGGATAGAAATGTGAGCCAGACCACACTCTGAGAAATGAGTAGCGCGCATTTGGCCGGGAAGCAGCGTGGGATTTAATGGTGTTACGCAAGAAAGAGATAGAGATTTTGGAGGGATCTTCGCGCCCGGGAGGCATGTGAATTTCATGCAACATCTTGCGGAAATCGATGAAGAGATCGAGAGGACGGCCCTGCTCACAGCTGCCGAATGCTTGGCCTGGGATCAGCTCCGGCGGCTCATAGCATAGGCAGATGACGCCCTCCTTGAAAACTGTATTCTTGTTAGACTCCGCTGTACATGATAAATGTTTGCGCTTGCGCAATCAAATGGGTTAACTCACGGTGGGCAATTTTTGGCCGCAGTGCGACGTCCCATTCCGGAGAAAGCTCGTCCAGAAGATGTGTCTGATTTTTCTGGCATCTCTCTGCAATTCCATCCAACTCTTCGAAAAATTTATTGCCTCTGGATGTGGGGCATTGATAGCCTCTTCTATCTGGAAGCGTTTTGCCGCGCTCAACTTGTCTGAAAAGCATAGATTTTTTAATTTCATCCCCCTCTGTGCAATTGTCAAAGAAAACATTCCCTGCTGTGAAAAACAATGACGTCATCAAGCATGCACGCCGCGCATCTCCTCGAACCCTTGAATGAGTTCCCAGAGGGTAGTCCAGAAATACCAAAGGCTTCCACCAGTTTGCTACTGTTGCTGTCATGTAGTGAAAATTTACCTCACATTTGGAACGGATTTGGAGGAGTTCATTCCACTGGGAAAAACCGTTAGGCTCCAGATCCGCCCGGTGCCAGGCTTCCTTGAAAACTGGTTACAAAAGTCAGCAACAATTGTTTGTATTTTGTGCTGGAGAGAGTAGAACGAGTGGACAGTTTTGAAAATTATCGCTGTGCCACTTACCTTTGGCTTTATGACGGTCTATAAATTCCATAAATTCAAGGTGCATGTCATCAACACCCTCTGGTCCAGGTCCCAATGTTTCCAAAAGGTCATTTGCCTTTTCCAGCGCATCGATAAAATCGTCCACAATGGTACCGGATCGGCTACTATTCCATTGGTATCAGCGCACTTTCTGCACCAGAGGGTTCGCTTTTCCAAGGTGAAAACATAGAAAGAGCGGGTATTCATACGAGTTTGATAGGTCACGGCCCTCCTCCCTCTCTCCGTCTTTGTCTTGAGCTTTATCAGACTCCTCCAGTTTTATTTCGCCACTCTGATTTAGCGAGCTACTATCCGAGAAATCGGATTCTTCCCACTCGTCCTCTTCCACGTCGGAATAATACTCATCAGAGTTAAATTCCTCAGAATTATATTCCTCATCAGTATCGAGATCATAGGCAAAACGATTAGCATAATTTTTGATCCGTCCTTGCTCGAAGTCTGTCAATTCGTTCCTTATCGTTTTCAAGCGATTCGACGTAGTTTTTCCCGTTAATTCTTCGGAGAAAAGGATAGCGTCCTCCAATGCGTCGGCTTCGTTATATTTCACCTGATTCGGCAGGCCTGTTCCGAGTTTACCTTTAGATGTACGGAAACGAAACATTGTATCCTCTCTCTCATACACATCACACACACTTTCTACCTGCTCTCCCGGCTTGATGTCTCGGATTCGATGAGTCTCAGGGTCTCTGGTTACCGTTTTCAAATATGGCGCGGAAGCACCGAGAATATCAGCTGGCCGAGTGACACGATGCGCCTTGTACAACATCTATTAAGCGTCAGTGTGGGATGGTTAAAAAGAAGGTGCAAAAGATGATATGGAATCAAACCTCAATTATGCCGCTGTGCAATGCCTCAAACGGCTCACCAGGTGTGGAACTCCAAATATATATGTCATAAAAATCATGGAATCCAAGCCGAAAAGCTCGCCTTCTCTCCATCTCGTTGAAAAATGCCTCATCGACTTGCTTGATTACATTCCACGGAGCCCGAGAACCCCGCCGATGGCCAATCTTTTCGCGGAAGAGCCAGGCGTTGTTGTCTGGGGGCTTCACGATGATTTTGCCAGTTTTGCCATCCCGGACGACCAGCATCATGCGAGAGGCTTGCATTGATACATATTGAAGGAATCTGCGAGTGATAAAGCTACTACGTTTCATTTGAGCGCATACATAGTTTCTCCCTTCTCGAACAGCTTGATTCCGGCCGCGACCCGTGGTCTTCTCTTCACTAAGTGTCAGCATTGTTGCTTTGGATTCGACGTAGAACGGTATGAAGCCCTAGGAAGAGGGTGAATGAGCTCTTTTATTCTCTGAGGTGATGGGGAAATCGTACACTTACCATTGAGAGGAAGGCTGTTTGCATGGTATGGCTCGTTGACAGTAACCACGACGGCGACGGGAAATAGTTATAGCTAGCCAGGGTATTCAATTCAAAAAACTCTGCCCACGATTTGCAAAGTTCCGCGGCTCTAAATAAATTGCAATCCTTTGCAAAGATACTAAATTGAAGCCAACCTCCGCGGGACATGGACTTGGTGCTAGGATAGCTGTAGATGTGTCGGCCGCAAAGCTTGACTCGGATTTTCCATTGAATACCACTGTCATCACCATCCAATTTCCCAAAGTCAATTGCTGAGCCTTGTCCCTCTCTTGCACCGCCGGCATCCAAGGTTCCCTTCCGCCTCTCGCGCTTAGCAAACATCTTCTTCTCTCTCTTTGATTGCCATGTATCAGGGATATTATGTCGTCGGCGCGAACGAGGAACTGCCCAGTCATTATCATCATCTTCGTCATCCGACTCGGGTTCCTCTTCTTCATTAGAATCGGACTCTTCCGCACTTTCAGCATTACCGCGAGCGAAATCCGCACATGCATCACGAATATCTTGTAGTTGTGGCTGCTCCAGTTTCAAACATATATCCCTGAGGTCGTTTATAGCCAAGTCAGGATCATTTAAAAAATCGTGAATCGTAGAGGCTCGCAAAGCAATGGGCAAGAGAATAGAATTTCCCAGTAGCAATCGACAGAAAAGGAGGTTCTTGATTTCAACCATATCGTCCAATAGCTGGTCAACTTCGTCTGCAGCAACGGGGCAGATCCGATCCGACGTGATTTCTGGCTTCTCAAGTGTACCTTTGATTAACAAAGACGCACCCTCAAGTCTAGCTCCTTCAATAAGTCGAGTACGCATTTCTTCGCGGGTTTCGATATTTTCGACATTCGGATCAGAGTTTCCAGTACTCTTTTGGCCAAGCGTTGATTTAGTCTCCGTCCCGGAAGGGGGAGGAGTCCCTTTCCGTTTTTTGCTTTTCCTTTTATTCTTAGAAGAGGCAGTAAGAGGAATTTCATTTGAAGTTGCTGCGTGGTCTTCTTGGGTGAAGGGTAAAGCTGTAACATTACTCTGAACATCATTGTCATTATCTAGCCCCTCTGGCACTGCGACATTCCCCTGAGCAATTTCCAGGGGGTGTGCTTCCGTTAGCCAAAGGAAGTGCTCGATCAAACTAACATAAGTGCCACGTTCATTGTCGAGTACATCTTCAATCGGATCCCAGGATTCTGCATCTTGTGCAAGCCGCTCCTCGTACGCCTTTTGAAGAAAGTCATCTTGTTTTTTCTGCTGTTCTTTTAGACGTAGTTCACGCATACGCCGATCAACTTCTTTCACTTGCCTCCTGAAGAGCGCAGCCTCTCGCTTAACTTTCCTCCTCTCATTCTCGCGCATTTTATCTTCCTCCTGCTGGCATTCCATCGTCCATTGGAACCACTTGCGTTTCTTATAGAGAACCTCTGCGGTTCTGCGAGTGACCCTTTCCAAAGCCGTGGCAACAGTTAGCTTTTGCTGTAAAAGTGTGTCTAGATACTTCTGGTGGCCGTAGTCCATGGCCTGCGCGTAGAAGTGGCTATGATGCAGTTTTCGAGCTTTGATCACGCGGTCAAGTAAATGATATGTTTTCAACAGGTGGTCGTGGATTTCTGACAGCACACTCTCATTCCCAAGGTCTTCAAAGAAGTCATTGGCAAGTTTTGCCGATCTTTTGGCCAGTTGTTCGTGAGGGCAGGAACGAAGTTCGTCCAATTTTGCATTCCTATTTTTGTAGCCCATATAAAGACCTATACATATATCGTCTCAGATGGATCATTGTAATATGATTATCTTTTGCTTAACGCGGATCACAACATACCACGACACTGCCTGGAGTGAAACGCACAAAACAAGCCGTTAGATGATGTTGCAAGTGCCTTGCAGGGCTTCTCATCCACAAGACTTAGCGCGCTGCATTTCTTGTTACCGTTGCCCACGGAAGCAGACTGCTCAAGATCTGTATTTAGGGTGGACATAGTGAGCGATATCCCATTACCAGATGCAGGTTGTCCGGTGAGCAGAAGAAAGTAAAACGAGGGAGTCAATACAAAAAACCCAGCAAGATGGTTAAGACGTAGGAATACATGTATGTACAAAATCGATATATTGAGTACGAATTGCAATAAACAGCAGAAAATAAGAGAATTATATCACAGCCCCAGTATCTGGACTCCACTATGTCTGGGATTTTTGTTGAGGCTGAAGAGAGGGGTCGGGTGCCACCAGGTGGGATCGCCCAGTCCCGTGACATAGTAGTCCCTCGCTCCAGTCTCGACAGAAACCGACAAGGGTTATGTGCTCAAGGAGGACATATAAGCAGTACATGGTACACATGGATGGATGCCCAGCCTCGCTAAGCAGTTCCAGCAGCGGGCGGCAACATGGACAGCCGTCAAGCGTGATGCCTATACCCTTCAGGACTCCGCCAATGGCCACTCTGTCCGTGCCTGCTGCCAGGCAATGGTCTGCAATGCAAAGAGTGGAACATCTCTGATGTCTTCGCCCAGCTTGCTGCATGCAGACAAACTCAATGCTGCAAAGGGCAAGTCCTTCGTATCAGTAGTGGACGAAATCAAGTGGTTCTATCAATGGCAGGCCCATCCAGAAGACCATCATAAGCTCACAGTCATCACTCACTGAGGGTAAGAGTCGGGTAACTAACTTTAAGGGTAGCCCGAGTATGCTAAGATAAAGTACGGAGTACGGAGTCTTAGTTAGTAACATTTTTACTGTGTCTTCAACGGAATTTCTCTCTTCCCCGGTAGGGCCCTGGATTGTGATATATACTATTCACCAGTGAACTCCTCTGGCCTGGACTCCAAGTCCATCTCATGACGTCATTGGTTAGGTGTTGGTTTCACAAACAGCCTCCACTCTCTTTAAACCCGCAAAAATGGATTTCGCAGGCTGTTAACTCGTAAAGCAAACCAGTATTGAGATCTTATAAGAGCGTGCATATCAAACTGGAGCAGCTGAAGCAAGGCTAACACGTCCCAAGGTTCCGGATAACTCTATTTTCTCAGATATAGCATTCACCTTACCCTTGGTAGCTTAGCGATGACGATGATGTCGGGATTTTCATGAGGAGCAAGGAACTCTGCCCTACTTCTACGTAGCAATGATGTATGACGAATTTGACCTCCAAACCTGACATTGTCTTCGTTGCCAACTGCCCGGATTTTGCCTCCCTCTGTTTCAAACTATATATCCATCTTATCATCAAGCGCAACCTGCTATTCTCTTATCTTTTTTTTTGGCTTGTATGGTGCCATTTTCAAGTATCTATTCCATCATTTCCCTGAAGATTGGATATCGACAGTACGTCCGCCATGATTAAGCCAACCAAAATTGATACCTTCCGTTCCTCGTCTACGATCAGCCCGATCCCGACTATTATCCCAAACGAGCCAATATATCAAGAAATAAGCGCCACGGGCTATCGGACATTATGGTAGGTCTGCTTCGCAAAGGTGAAAATATAGAAGAGAGGAAAACAGATATCCTAATGGGCTTACTAGGGTGGTCGCGATCCTCATGCTGTTGTCCTCGCTCATTTTCTATATCCTAGCTTCGCGAGTCCCTGTTGTAGGTTTCATTTAAATAAACCAATTTGCATAGTTGGATACCCACCTAACAACATCACTTAAAGCAAAAACGCCTATTCCATATACTGGCCTCTCTGGTGGCGACCGTCTCCTTCCTCGCTTATTTTGCCATGGCCACAGGGGGTGGGAAGGCGTATAACCATGCAATTAACCACGAACATCACAAAAACGCCTCTGATACCATCCAACATATTTACCGTGAGGTATACTGGGTCCGATATGTGAACTGGGGCCTGACATTTCCCATGATCCTCATCATCCTGGTTCTCTTAGCCGGAATGAACGGAGCAAGCCTTCTAATCTCCATCGTGGCCAATCTTGTCATGAATATAGCCGGTGCCATTAGCGCATATGGAGGGTACAGCGGGCGGAAATGGGCGTGGTATACGATTTCGTGTTTGGCCTATCTCACGATCGTGTACCAGGTCGGATTCAACGGCCGCAGGGCAGTTGCGTCAAAGGACAACAGAAGAAAAACCCTGTTTGGGTCGCTCTCTAGCCTTGCGACGATTGTTTTGCTGGCCTACCTAATGTAAGTGGATAACGAGGAACAGCACGTCCTTGTGATGAAATGAGATAGGTATTAATGTCTTTTCAGAGTCTGGGCTGCTTCTTCGAACGCTCGTCGAATGAGCATTGATGGAGAGGTCATTATCTACGCCATTTTGGATCTTCTCGTTCAGGGGCTTTTCGGGTACTGGCTCCTCATCTCCCACAATAATAGCATGTCAGCCTAGTAAGTCAATCCCTAACTTGTGCCGGTGTCGAGTATGGGACTTACACTCCCGCACAGTTCTTTGAACATGGATGGATTCTGGGCTAGCGGCATCGGAACCGAAGGAAACATTCGGATTGGCAATGGAGAGGAATCCTAAACACAGTATTTTATGGACGTAAACCAGCCAACCATGCATCCATTGGATTTGGTCAAACGAACGTTATTCACGGATGATGCCTGAAATCTGTCAGTAAACTCAAGATGGCCATCAGGTGTTTTCACGGGCAGGGGTTAGTTTCCAACAGTGTTAATCATCTTTTTTATCGGTTGTGGTTTTGGCAATTTGGAAGTCTCTATCATGTTATAAAAGTGAGTTTTGTGAGCAGCATTTTATGAGCATTATGTGTCCATTGGAGAATCTATGGACTATGTGTCTTTTTTTTAAAGGTACCGTCCGAAAACTGCTGATATGGGTACCTAAATCATGTCGAATTGAATAGTAACTACTCGTAATGACAAGAAGGATATGAAAAAAATATTTGAGGTTGGCCGCTGCCACCACTGTGATCCAGAGGGGATTAGTCAGCTCTTGGCCTTCTTCCAGGACGAAAACAACCTCATCCTGTCCTTCTTGACTTGCTCCCCCAGGTCTTTATTGCATAGTTTGTTCCCATCTCTTTGTTTTATCTTACCCTTACCTGTATGCTCTGCAGCTGCTGTGTGTCTGGCAGCGCACTTCGGACTGGCCACAAGCGCGTGCGGATTCGGGTATGAGAAGTTGGGCGTGGCGATGCTGGCCTCCTTGTGCAGTGCCACCGCCATTGATTTCCCACTTTCTGCTCCTGCTCCTATGTTTGATACTTTTGCCATTGCTGTTGCTTTTGCTGTAGCTGCTGAGCAATTTGCTTGTTTGTTATCCGCTAGCTTCTTCACCTTCGAACCGCAATCTACCCGCTTGATTTCCCCGTAGTTGACCCGTTTAGCAACAATGGCTTGCTCAGATAAAATTTTCGGCCAGGAGACAACAACTTGCTCTCGCATCCGCTCCGGCAGCGCAAAGCCTGCATCGATGCAGTTGTTCTTGAAGTTGATCAGACGGAGGCGGTGTGGGTTAAAGAGATGAAAAGGGTCCGCGTCAACGACGAAGCCGGTCAGAGAGAGTTTGACCACCGGCAGGAGGCGGACGGTACTTCCCATCTGAGCCGCGCGAGCTTTTGCATGCACAATAGAATATTTGTCTAGGTATTCGCCTATGCCTGCTCGGCGGTGGAGAGTACCCTGCCCCTCGTCGCCACTAAACGGGGTCGGTCCTCTTTAGTTTACAAAGTCCTCCCTTAGACCTTTGGAGGTAAAGCTTTTTAAAATGTGGGTGATTACTTACTAATATGAGCTTCTCTCCGCCTCGGGCTTGCTGCGTTGAATCCAGCCCCCTTTAATATATGGCCAACTGGAAAATGCGCGTCGGATGCACGGCTCCAACATCATTTCCAGCTCCAAAGTCTCAAGGCCGGGATTCAGCCAGGCAACCTGCCAGATGTACTTTTGGTATGATTGGCTCATGCCTGTGAGTCTTAGGAAACGCAATTTGCGGAAGCTGCAGAGCGGTCCCATGGCTTCGAGCGGGAGTATGTCATCATCGTCATCGTTCGAGGCAACGATCTCATACTCGTCGCCGAAGGGGTTAACCATTCCCCAATCAACTTTTTCCTTCCGCCTCTCGTTTCCGTTGTATTTCGTTCTATTTTTCTCGTTCATCTGATCCTTCATTCTCTCCTTGTTTTCTTCCTTCTCTTTTTTCATGCCTTCCGTTACAACCGGCCAGAAAAGGTCAAGATGTAGCGAGCGGCAGTTCAACTCAAGCTGATTCCAATCCTCACCACCCCTGAACAACAAGTAGCCGGGATTTTCGCTACAATAACCACAACTGAGATGACGTATTGGAGCGTTCGTAGTCTCACCCGAGATTGTAGCACGGGGAAAGTGGCTCAAAGAGTACAACGACGTTCCTTGGTTTCCAGTTCTACCAGTCATACGTTTTTTACTACCGCTTCTGCTCCCAAACGCAGAGCGCAGAAGCCCAACGCTGCTGCAATTGATACTACCCTGATCTTCATCACCCTCATCATAATCGCGGTGCTGATTACGAACATGAATATCCCAGGCGATTTTCGTTGGAGCCGACTTGGACTCTTTTTGTTCTGACATCATATCTGTGGATGCTGACAGTACCGGTTTGCTAACGCCAATGTCTAAGTTACACCTAGCACCGAGTTTGAGGCTTAAGCATGGTGGAACGTCACTCATGCTACAGCGCCGCTGCTTCTTAGAAGTCAAGGCTGAAGTTGAAATTAGTTTCGGTACTGTTCGGCTGTTGTTTCTCTCCGGGCTCGTCTTCACACCCACTTCATCCGAAAGGGAGATTTTGCTCCATGGGAAGGGCAGCAGCGAGCTTGTTGCAACTTCGTTGTATGCCAATTAGTACCTTTGGCGGTATGTATATGTATTTGAGCAGCGGGGGAGGATAAATGGGTATTGCACTTGTATGTTAAATTCAGGGGACTGTTTATGAATTGAATACATACGCGACTGTCTCCCGGTTTTTGTACCTTCTGCTACCATTTTGCCTCCTTCTCTATCCCTAGCTTTATGTTTAACTTGAGCCCCAGGATCGAAGCAGGCTTTGTTTTCTTTCTCCTCGTCATTCTCCTCGTCGCTCGAGTTGCGAAGGAAACTTTCCCCTGAACCGTACCAAGTCATACTTATTGAAGGTCTTTTCTGTGCTGCCTATGTTCGTTGTGATGCTTCAATGCCTAATCGATGTAACGCGCAAATTAAAACAGGGGATATGTCAAAACAGAGGATATTTCATTGAGCTAAGCCGAGTTGCAAGGAAGTACATGCATGGGGGATGGCAGGGTGAATGGTGAAGGTGTTGCTACAGTGACTTCTGGCGTGTTGTTATTCTGTCACCAAGAGAGGTGGAGAGAAATTCTGCCTGTGTGCATTTCATTCTTGTCAGAATACCATAAGAGTACTTGATGTTTGATCCCCGTATGCAGAATATATAGGCGAATCCGTCCGCAATGGCACAAAAAGGCTATTTTATTTATAGGAAGAAGCACTATATACATTGTGCAGCATCCTGTACCTCTGCATGATAGACCCCTCAAGATTCATCTCTACAAAATTGCTCAAAGATTGTCTGGAGAGTTCTCCAGCGGAGCTTGGATACAGGAGCCTACATTCCTATCTACGCAACTAACGCTTTCATAAAGTACATCACTCCGCGTAATGAAAGCTTGCGCTTGCAACTCGCTACAATTTTTATATCTTCTTGTCTTAACCTCCTGAAGAAACAAAGATATCGCCCTGTCTGTATATCTCTTTAGGAATCCAGACTTTTGAGAGCGTGGTGCTGTAGCCGCCTGGAACGACGTGTGAGGAGTTGAACGTACGTGCTGTAGACTATCAGGGGATGAAAGAATCCTTTCTTCAATAGCCTTGAAAAAAAAAAAAAAAAATGATAATGTTTGGCTCAAACGGGCAAACGACGGCCCCTTAAAAGACCTTAACTATGTTTCCCAAAAAAATTCCACACGATTATTTGTTGGGATGTGAAGCTTAACCAAGTTGAGTTGTTTTGTTTTACTTATTCATTCATTGACGGTTTCGGGTTTCTAGGAAATATGCCGTGGAGATGCCTATTTCCTACATATATAGTCGGATGCGTCCCGCAAGAAATTGTGATGGAATTGCACCCAGCTATATTTGTGTGTAATACGTCAATAAGCAGATGAAATCATTGATTCATCCTATGAAAAAATGGCGGTTTTGCAAAGTTTATTTTATCCACGCCTTGAAATTTTGATTCAATTGACAAGAAAAATAGCTATGAATCCGTAGTATGAAATAACAAAGAACAATAAAACAAAGCACGAAAAAGAAACGCTTAATACTTCTTCCCCTCTCTCAGCACATCAGCATACTCGTCCAGTGGACTTCTGATTAGCTTCGTCTCCTTCCACAGGTTCGGGGTGAGGAAGCCGTAAGTGTTCGCAACGGCAACGAAGGTGGCTTTGAGGGTATTTTCGAGGGTTTTGGTGGAGCCGGAGGAGGAGGTATAGATATCTTGGACACCGGCAAGCTGAAGAAGGCGCTTGACGGCGGGGGAGGCGACAAGGCCGGTACCGCGAGGGGCGGGAATCAACTATTTTATATGAGTAACTTCTTATAGGTGTATGACGTATTTTACCCCAAAATTTGACGTGATCCAAGATATGGAAAACATACCCGAACAGTGACGGAACCACACTTTCCGCTCTCCTTTGTAGGGAGCGAGTGAGGCTCACCGAGGTTGGAGCCCCAGTATCCTCTGCGGACGGGAAGTACGGAGAGCTTCGCAATGATGATGGCGGCGCGGATGGCAGTGGCTACTTCTTTCGAAGTCTTGATCCCGAGGCCAACATGGCCTTCCGAGTCGCCAATGACGACGATGGCCTTGAATCGTGTACGTTGACCAGCACGGGTCTGCTTCTGGACTGGTTTGATCTATACATGCACATCATTGGATTAGCTCCTAATCCATTGAAAACCCTTTTACCTCCGCATAATCCAAATCTCTCTTCCTAGCCGTATGCATATATTGAATATCTTCCCTAGAGTTAATATAGTAATGGATATGTTTACCTTCATAACCTCATCCTTCAGCTTGGGCAGGAAGAAATCGACGATCTGATATTCCTTGATAGGCAGGGAATGCAGGTAGATCTGCTCCATGCTGCTAATCTTTCCGGCCTTAACGAGACGACCGAGCTTGGTGACAGGCTGCCATTCCTTCTCGTCGCTTTTGGGTCCGCGACGACCACGACGTCCACGGCCTCGCTCACCAGCACGGTCGCCGCGCGAACCGAAACCTCCACGGGCAGCACCACGGGGAGCATCAGCCATGATTGGTGAAATGAAGCTGGATCTTCGACCGAACAAACGGAAGAATTGGAAGGATGGCGTGAGTTAGTGGTGGTGGGGAAGTGGATTGTCGTTGGTCTCGTCGTCGTCGTCGTCGTCGTCGTCTTCTTCGTCTTCGTTCTCTTCTCCTCGCAAAAAGCTGTTGAGGAGAAGCGAGAGGTGTGACGCTGAGTCAGCTCCACTAAGCGAGGGGGAAGAGCTCGAGAAAGCCCTATACCCTAAGCCCTAAGCCCTAAACAGAGCTGTTTTTGGATGCTAATCGTGGTAATAAATTGTTGGGCACTAATTGTGGCCAAGACCTCACCCACGTTGCCCCTTTGGGTGGGTCCCACCCAAACGATATTTTCATCGCAATGATATTTTCTCAACTATTTTGTACTACCTATGTGGGAAAAGTCTCAATAACCCTGTCTATCTATAGTAAAAAGCTCATTATCTACATCCTCAGTACCTTCTTCATCTGAATGATTTAAAATATTGACAATTAGAGTTTGTTCAGCTGTCTGTGTGCCTGGCATTTGTGCAGCTGCTGCAAGCTCTTGTTGTATTCAATTGATGAATTTCTATATATTTTCTGCTTTACACTTTGCAATTTGATTTTTGACATTTTTAATAATCATCATTTCTTCTATATTAATCTGTCTTTGTGATCTTTTTTCTTTTTGACATTGATGAGCTGTAAGAAGTTGATTGAGATTTCATTTATATTAGGTTTTCTTTATAAAGAGGTCGGCTATTCCCATTTAGGATTAATGTACGCCACCCAACCCGACGTGGGAAATGTGGTAAGTGCGTGCTGCCAGGGAAGAACGCATTGGTATTAGTACACTGCACTTAAGCCGAAGGCTGCTATAACCTATCAAAATAAAATAAAATATGTTGTTGTACGCCAAACTAACTAGTGTCCTTCTCAATTGATGATGTCATGGAAGTTACACTGGCTAAAAGTGCCAAGCCCTGAGGGGAAAGAAAATATGTTGGTTGGAGGGATTTGTGGTGGGCTTGGTGGCAGATGAGTCATCCTTTGCAGGACTCTGGTGTGCAGATTTTGAGGGGCAGAATATTCAATTTCCTCTGTTGGATGATAAATTCACAATCCTTTGGTAAACCACCAGCCTATCTCACATTATCCGACTGAAATGGCTCTTTTCACAGGGTTTTTAGGCCCTGAAGCAAAAATCCATCGAGCAGAATTGGAGAAACAGCTGTTGCGTGGTAGCGTCAAATATGGACTGGACGCTGCTGGTAACCGAAGATATGTTGGGCTTGATGGACTCACCAGACTGTTGCTAGAAAGCATAGGCTTAGAGGTACGCCAGCGCATTCTACAAAAGATATCGTAACTAACAAATACATAGGCTAACCATGACTTGGCAACATGGCGAATCTCAACGTCCAAATTCTTCAAACCTCTACAGAAGCAAATATACATCATTCCGATTCGTATCATATCAGGAGAACCATGTGTTATCCAGGGCGAGATTAAAAGCCTTTTGGTCCCTGGCCAATACGTAAGGTTGGAGGATGGTATCGATATTCAGCCAGAACTAGAACCAGAACTGGAATGTGTCTTTGCATCATTCGAGTCGCCAAAGGAGCTCACTCCATGTCCAACCACCAACCCGCATAATTCTGCATCCTATTGAAAGGATCGAAATCGATGGCATGGTTCACATTGTTCAAGGATATGGGAATTTGGTTGAATGGGTTAAAGTTGTCCGCGGTTTGCATATTTATCTCCCTTGTGTTTTGTGAAACTCTCTGGTTACCCGGGACGGCTCCCACATTGTTGGCTTGCCCACCTGCAGAGGGTTGAACTGCCAGACTATGTAACGGCGCGAAAGGATTGAACGCATTATCGTACACATCCATGCGAACACGGGAGAGAGTGTGTGCAGTCCATGGTGTGGATGTTAAGGAGTTCATGTTTTCAAATCCACTTGCTGCATTGTTATTGTTATTCGACTGTCTTTCCATATTTCCATTCACAGCTCGCCGAAGCTCCGAAATTGCGGGGAAGGAGGACGGATTTACTAGAGCGCAGAGTTCATTCGACGAAGGTTCTATTTGGATGTTAGTTAGCTATTTAAAATGCGAGTTCCTCAATGTCAAACCTTTAGTGTAAGATACATTGTTAGCGACATTTGCCAGAATGTCGAGAGATGCCGACTGTGGGTACGATGCATTGTTGTTGATTTCTGTATCATCGGCCCTCGAGTCCACTGGTACGGGTGGTTCAGGTTGGCGGCTATAAGACGGCCCTCAGCAATTAGGACTTAGCAGAGTTCCTATGATAACTCACCTTTTTCTCCCTCCCTTCGTCGGTTTCTTTGAAATGCCGCCTCTTCTCCCGTCTTTTCTCTTTTGAGATGCTAACACCTTCTTCCCCCCGGGCTGCCGCGGTTGTGGTTCTGGTAAAAATCAGCAAATGATAAAAATGCAATCTCGCTTGTGGGGGGTTGTACCGTAAAATCGCACATGTAGCTGGCGAATGGGAGATACAATTTTCTCAATCTTTGCTAGTAGGTGGTCAACCACTGTCTTTATAACTTCATGAGCATTCCTTTTTTTATTGGCATTCACAGGATTCTTCTACCGGTACTCCGTGTCTGGGACCGTCCATTTCCTCTCAGCCTTTTTTGGAACATTCTTCTTGCGTAGCTCCTCGATCGTAGCGGAAAAGATGGTCCCCGTGGATGGTAGATGCACCTCATATCTGACAACTACCTTTCAGTAACGAACGTCTATTTGCAATCACAAAGTAGACTTACGTTGTATGACCAACATCAGGGATATAAACCATAGCGCCATAACCGCCCAAATCATTAGATATGGAGTTGTACTTCCCTCCTCCCCGAACCATCTGTGGCCACTTCCCACAAATCTGGGAATGGAAGCTAGCTGAGATCAAGCCGGATCGTAAGAGCTGTTCGGGAAGGTCCGCAGGAGCGTCATATAAGCTATCAAAATCGCCACCGTATAATGTTGACGTCCGTCGATTGACCCACGGTATTCACCAGGCTGATGAAGAAGTCCAAAGGAGCTGTACCTTGTTGAGGAGAGCTGCGCCATGAAATAAAGGAGTCAGGGTCGTCGTCCCAAATCCAGACTGTTGTCTTCACAGCTATGTCAATATCACTTTCGTCCGCTGGGTAGCCAGTAATTGCCTTGTAGGCACGATTTGTTTTGTTAAGGATGCGATTTTTCCACGCCTTGGGAACTTTACCCCAGAATTGCATAATAACTTCAATAAGCTATAACAGAATTAGCCTGGTGTCACTAAGAGAAGCATGGAACATTTGGAAAACCTCTTCGTTATCGCATTGCAACTCATCGTGAAGTTCCACCTCATCCGCCAGCCTTCAAAGTTCTGTACTGATTTCATTCCCCATCGTGTTGGACGAACGAAGTGAGGTTGGAGGAATATCCATCCTTCCAATTTGTCTGTGGAGACCAGTCCTATGGACACTATTCCAGATTTGTCGACTATTATTTACATGTAAACTGTGGGATGGTTGATCTTCTCATTGTGCGATCGCTAGCTAACTATATATAGGGGTAATCACGTGCGGTGGAGGGCCGCCTGGGCAACTAGTGCCCAACATAAACAAGTGCACCTGGCTTGTGGCTATTAGTCATTCGACTAGTGAAGCCACAAATTCTCTAGCCCATACAAATTCACTTTTAGCATATGACGTCTCATCAGTCAGAGCCGTGGTGGGTTCTCGTGGGTTTAGTAGTTTTGGTTAGTAGGCTGTCTTGAAGGCGCTTCTTCAAGTGTTCAGCATCCTATCTTCGGCAGCTGAAGCGCGTCTACCGTGTCTGGCACGAGGTGGTTGGTGTGGGTTAGATCGGGAGGAGTGGGTGATTGGTGTTCATCTACATGATCATGCGGCGTCGAGTCGGCCCGTGGCGATTGCAAATCGTATGGAGGCCCGCACTGCTTCTAAATTTGGGGTCCAGCTTTGGTCATCTGAAGGCGATTTTCCTCCTAGGAAGAAGGATATGTTGCTTAGGTGGGTGTTGGTACATTGCAGCATTTCCGTCCGATGTGCTGTCCACTTCTGACACCGAAAGAGGAAGTGCTCCACGGTTTCTCTTGTTTGTCCACATGCACACTGATCTGTCTGCGCAGCATTGATTCGGTAGAGATACCCATTCAAACTAGCACGCCAACGAGGCGTTAAAGGAGTGGCCAGGGTTATCGGGCGCAGCGCTATCACCAGCATTACCGACATGCGTGATGGTCTGACCTTCGACAACTGCTACGCCTTTCGAAGCGCGGCTCCCAGCACAACTTCCTCCTTTACACAGTCTCATTCACATAACCCTCTGTCGCGATCATTCACCCAGCTCCGCGGGCTGGGTATCAGTGAAAAGTCGTCGACCAGAAAGCGCAGATCCCCTGATACCGGAACGCAGCCGTCCAAACGATCACGCTCCAGCAGCCAGCGGTCGAGGAAAGACCAACAGGAGAAGGAGCTAAGCTTTGAGGTCGAGTCGGTCCAGAAACCGAGCCTCTTTGACAAGAATGGCGAAGAACCCTTCGATAATCGTATCTTCCGTTGCCTGGTGGTCTCACCCGGTGGACGGCCGATTTACAAGTACCAATCTCCCGCAGAACTGCTCACGGCACTTCGTGACGCAATCAAGGCGCATCGATCCCTTTATCTTGACCGAAAGATCTTGCACAGGGATATCTCAGAGATTAACATAATAATAACCGATCCGGAGAAGGCAGACGGTAATTTGGGCATGCTGATTGACCTGGATCTTGGGAAAGAAATCGGTACTCGAAGCGGTGCACGCCACCAGACTGGTACGATGGAGTTCATGGCAATTGATGTGCTGCTTAATGTTGACCATACTTATCGGCATGATCTTGAGTCATCTTTCTACGTTCTTATCTGGCAATGTGGCCGCCATGGGTGGAGATTCTCTGGAAACCCAAGGGACCAACCGAAAGACAGTCTGTTGACAAAGTGGTACACTGGCACCTTTAGGGATATTGCAAGAATTAAACGGAGTGACATGGGCGTCGATGGGTTTGAGGATATCCTGGAAGACTTTCCGCCTTCTTTCGAATTTGCCAAACCGCTCTGCAGGGAATTGAGGCGAATCTTGTTTCCCTACAGGGACGGCCTCTTTACGGGAACCCCCACAGATCCAGAGGTGCTGTATGGGCCAATCATCCAAGCATTCGACAAGGCTATTGACGATATTAAATCTATGGAGGAATAGGTGGTAAAGGTCGTGCTTTGTAGATCTTATCTGGTTCAACCGGCTTTGTTTGATTCTTGAAATCGGTATTAAAGCCTTAACATTTAATGTACATAGAAAGTTCAACCCCCATCTTTTGATGTGGTAATCTCGGGTTCTCCTGATAAAAAAATCTGCAGAAGTGTTCAAGATGCCAAAGAAAAGATGTAAATAGATTTTTAGATAGTTGATACTCTTGGTTAGAACTGGTTTCCATGCTTATTAACTGATCTAATTTAACTAGTTAGTTATGCTAACTCTGGTAAGTAAGGTCCATGCGTAGCATGGCCGAATCACATCCATTTCCCGTCATTTTTGCTGTTATCTTCTGGGCCGTTCACCAACACACAACGATAGGTATCACAGCCACCAGTACATGCCTCGTGACTTCGTCTCATTTTTCCTCAATCGTGGGGTCGCAGATGCAACTTATAGTTTGCCTACGATTGGTCCATCTTTAGGCCAGTCCACCAGCATCGCTGCTACAGGGCGCTTAATGTCCGCCTGGGAACTTCTGCTTGACCAGTCTGGTGCCTGAGTTGCAGGGGACCAATTGTAATCTATGTGCAAGCACTTTTACAACTCAAAGCAAGAACAGCCAAACTTATACAACTTTAAAGAAGCAAGCAATCGTGATGAAGGAAGTTGTTGATTCGCTCTTACAAGATGCTAGGAAGGCGACTCTTGTTGAGCCTTAATCGGTGCGAAATGAAGTAGTTGGATATTTTCAGAAATTTGAATACAAACTTTATGGTGACTGACAGACTCCATTGCACAACCGAATTATCCCTCTGTTGATGATAGGCAAAATTAGAACTACGAAGGTAGAAGGAATGAACTACCAATAACGAGAAGATGCAGAAGCAGACCCATTACCATCCCTTGTTACATCAGAACTTCCACAGCCATTCCGCAATTCTCCAACCCTTTTGACGTCCAGCACAGCAATGTTCCTTGAACGTTCACGGTAGACGCCACCGATCTTGACCCAGGTCCTGTGCAGCAAGCATGCCGAGATACCACAGAGCTAGCATGACCGTGAGACGCGGCTGAGCTGCTGTCCCAAGACTGTCCCAGGAAATTGGCGTCGAAAGCTCTAGGCTGCCGTTGCCATCTAGTCTTCGTATAGCGACCAGTTCAATATCTGTAAGAACAAAGCCATACCGGGATCCGTGTTGCTTCATATAATGGTTCACCTGGCTGAGAACTTGACGAAATTCGTTTCGGTCATGGGCTGTACCAGTTGCCATCGCCATGCTCCACTTCCAGCTTGGCTTCACATCTCCAGGGGCTCTGTTAGGCCCACTGCCGAAAGATGCAGCAACACAGTATGCTAGATCAGGTGTGAACCCGCCTGGAGTCGAAGCTGCCTCACCAACATCAAATGAAAGGGGGGTAAGCCCATTTAGCTGGTTGACCGCTTGTAGTTGGTTGAAACCTGTTCGAAGAGCACGACGAATTCGTGTCGTTAACATATCTGAAATGCGGTGCCGAAGAGGATTCTCTGAGTTTGGTTGCGGCGGAGACACAGGGAAAGGATCCGGTGGAAGCATAGTTGTCATTAGATGGGCTTGGTACCGCTGACGAAAAGTAGCAAGGGTAAAGTTGATCCATACTCCAACAGAGTGAATATCGCTGGCTCGGTAAGAAGTGCTTGTGGTATTAGGTCCAGGATTTGGGGGTGGGAGGGTAGGTATAGCAGGCGGGGCGTTCTGCAGGTATGCCATCAAAGAAATCGGGTTTGCCATTCGGAATGAAAACATATGCCTTTAATTAATGAAAAAAATTGTATAAATAACCGGCGTGGATTATGTATTTCAACTTTAATACCAGCAGATTCAACAGCTGAACTCTAGACTTCCCCTTGTAGCAGTCGAGCCTTTTTATATTTGAATTTCAATTCGCATAGTCTGTATCTTAGCTTATTGTCCATCTTTTTCAGATTCCTATATTTGCCATTGGGCGGCTAATAATTGGTAAGGAAACTCTCAATTGTTAGATTTACATGGCTTGTGAACATAGCGGAAAGTGACATGTGTAGCAAATCTGTCATGCTGGTGAAAAAGCGGCGCTAAATGGGGGCAGTTTCCACTTGCATATCCTGGCTTGCGATTGAGCGAATCGATGAGCGGCAGATATGGCATGTCACTCTACCCAAGAATAGCGCATTTAAGCGCCGTTGTTTCGCCAAGGTTTCCGTTGTGTCTAATGATGTTTCGAGGTGTAAGCGCGAAGTTAACTGCGAAGTTAACTGTGCCAAGCGCTACTCACTACCATTAGTGAGTGCGCCACAGCGTACGGAAAACCACACCGTACAAAAAATATTATGAATATAGCAATCTTCAAAAATTAATTAATAACCACCACCCGGTCTATCTATAATATAAAGATCATCTATATGCTCATTAGAAGATGTAGAATCCACTGTAGATTAAAATTCAATAAATTTATCTTGTTGTGATTGAATGACAATTGATTTTATAAGCTTGATTCCAACTGCTTAAAGAGTTTTATTGAACTCTTTTGATTCATCAGCTCTATATATTGCAATTTTGTGATTTGTGTTCTTTATAGTGAGAACTTCTTCTATTTGCATCTGTTTGTGGAAGGATTTGACAATCTAATGTCTATTTATATAATAATGAGCAATTAGTTCACACTTTCAATGCACATTCAATTCCATTTTGAATCATACTATTTGTGAAGATCTTATTCAAATGCTTAATTAACTCAGATGTAAGAGTATTATTCACATCTTGTAAAGCTTTTTCTATTGGTTTAATTTAATGATGTAGTTTTGCAATTATATTCAGAAATATTAATTGTGAAGATGCAGTTGACAGTTGATCTGCAAAAGATGAAATAAATTGAAAACATTTATTATTATCATCATCATAAACAATAAGACTTGAACTGTCATTAAGAATAAGAGATTTCAATTGATTAAGTATTACATCTTGATTAAGTAAATAGATTCCATAGTTTGTGAAGCCAGTTTTAATTATAGCAGATTTGAACATTTACAATCAGATGCTTTTCAGATTGACAAGGAATTGTCTTTTATCATATTGCTCATATCTGTAGCAGACAATCTTGTTAACTGCTTTTATATGATAATGCTTATATTATTGAAAAGACACACCATCAAAAGGTTGTAAAATATGATTTGTATGAAATGGAAATTCAAATACAATGATTTTGTGAAGATTGCAATAATGAAGGAATTCATCTGTAAAATGAGATTCATAATTATCGAGAAATAATAATCAATGACTGCTCATTTGATGCTTTGTTGTAATCTCATTAAACTATTTGAGCCATTCAAACACAATCTCATCATTGATGAAGCCAGTGTCAGATGTGGTTATAATATAATTATTCAGTAAATTTGACTGTGTATATCAATCTTCTAAATAAATCTTTGATTTCATTATAATCAGTGTATTCAATATTGTGTCATTTGTACTGACACATTTCACCACTGTTATTAATCTGTGAGAATATGAAGATTGTATGACAGAATCCATGTCTTGAAAGATGATTAGAACTCATTGTTCACATTCTTCTTTTTTTTGAAATTCAATCTCATCAAAGTTGTAGATATCACATCTGAAGAAATGATATTAATTGAGAACAGACTCATATCAATCAAATCAGTTGATGATGAAGTTTATATTTTCATTAAACATTCATTTTGAATTTATTGACTTCTACTTCACCCTTTCATAGTCATTTGACAGATGTTTGACAAATTAATATGCTCACATCTTGCTCATAATGAGAGGAGGAGTTTCAGGATCTGTATGATGCTGCTTAAGCATTTAATTCACAGCAGCTTCAATATGCTCAATTGTGAGTGGGTAAAAATTAACATTCATCTGATGAATCCACATCTTAATAGCCTTCTCCTGGCTGTCATTCAACACTCGATTGAGTGGAACCCTCATAGTCCTCGATTTCTTGCCATTAAGCCTTTCATACACGATTGCATATGGAACTTTGAATTCTTGTGACAGGGATGTGATTTTTAATGTTGGATTCTTTCTAAATGTGTCAATGGCATTTTGCAATTGCTCTTCAGTGTAATTGGAAGATTTAGGCATGATGGCAATGATTAATGAATATTTAAGAATGAAGATTGTCTGTACGGTGTGGTTTTCCGTACGCTGTGGCGCACTCACTAATGGTAGTGAGTAGCGCTTGGCACAGTTATTAGCCAACCAATTTTTGCGGCGTGGAACATCTCAGTCTCCACAATCCACCCCTGTGTCAGACACAGAGGCTACCAGGCCACCGTGCCGCGACCACCTAAACAATAGAGGAATCACTTGAGCAATCCTTTCCTGCGGCATTGTTTTCCTCCATCGGTGCATGGCAAAGCTGTTACTCTGCGTTGACCCATTTGGGTTTGCTTCTTAATCGATATTCAAACCTCGCAATGGAGTTTACAGATGTCGATGTGACCGAGATCATCTTCCAGGAGCGGCTAGCGAAACGGGACTATTGCATGGTATTCTTGGTGGTTATCAGAGGCAAGGCCTGTGTCATGAAAGTGGTGGGTTAGACTCCCTCTGGCTTGACTCTCCTGCAGATGTATTTTCTGATGCTTTCCATAGCACCATGGTCAAGGCCCTAAACAGCCATGGGACTCACAGATCCGTGAAACGAATATCTTTATCTGCGAATCGACAGCGTACCGACGCTTGACACACGCTGGAGTCTGCGCCCGGGGTATAACTCCTCAGTTCTACGGAACGATTGAAAATATTGATCCGACACGGTCCCTACCACATCTTAAGGAATTTGTCAAAGATGAATATCCGCCCACAGCTATCCTCTTAGAGTACATTCCGAAAATGAAAGAGCTGAATTGGACCAATTACAATGAAAGGAGGATGCAAAAATTTGTTGATGGGCTGAACACAATCCATGACGCACTAGTCTATCACGATGATGTTCATCCCAGGAATATGATGATTGTGGAAGGGGATCCAGAAAGGGCAATTTGGATAGATTTTGACAGGGCACAGACATTTGATGGAGAGCTTACAGAGAGGCAGAAGGAATGGATTGTGTTTGAGAAGGAGCTTATGGCTGAGATGGCTGATTTTATGGTCTGTATCCTCTGCTCCCCGGACAGTTATGCCCACTTTTTAACTAATCCTGTTGGATTTCTGGGACTACAGAAACACGACTTTGTCAAGGGGAAATTCGACAAAACACGTCAGTACTATCGGTGACCTAAAACCTAAGGACGACAAAGGAAGGTGGACCTGATCGCGGGTGTTGCTTCATGTGAAATAAATTGACTAGACCCATGTGTAGATACTCATATGATTTCGGGAGGGCGTTTCCGGGAATGCACTAGACGAAGACCCCTTCTGGTTAAGAAGATGGTGGCTAATCTCTCACACACCCCCTCCAATACCGAAAATTCCCCAAAGAATAAGAAAACTTCCGGAGTCCCAAAAGTACCTGTGGTTTCTCAACAGCGACAAAACTGATGATGGTGCAGAAGACTCATCTCAACCTTCCATGGTGGCCCGGTGGATGATGTATCTATGGAGCTGGACAGTCTCATTGCAATTGTACTAGATGCACTTTTAATTACTTATTCCGGACCGAAGGTCAAGAGCTATCTCTTCCCCCAGCAAAACAGTAAGAAGTTTCGATATTGCCTTTCGACAGATTTCATCCCGAGGATCAGCCGAGACATCATACGTTTGCTCCGCCTCCTGAAGCGGGTCTCGCAGCCGATTTAGCGAGTCGTTAAAAGGATGCTTTGCGATGATATCGTAATCGTAGTGCGAAAGCTCAGCCATATGTGGGCGTTATCTACACGATTGGTGAGGAATGATAGAGCTGCCTAATTCAACCTGCTCCGGAGCTGATGCCACGTATAACTATGGGTGACAGTAGAAAGACTGCGTAGTGGCCGTAAATTCCGATAAAGCCAAGATCTCATCCTTCCCAGTCATCCATTACTAATGACGTACATAGCAGTGCATGAGAAGAAATATTTAAACAGGGGATGCGACGCAGTTCTTGTATCACCCTAGCGCTTCTATCCGCCGTAGAACCCAAAATTACGGTATTTCGGTAATATATACCTACTTTTTTAAGCCCTTTGCGGGTCGTCGGCGGGTTTTGGCGAGGTCTAGGACCAAATAGATATCTTCGTAGCATTCTGAAATTACCGCCAATGTTTCATGAACGTTTCCAACCAATGATTGGCTCTCAGTAACTAGATTGGGGGCTGCGTGGCATGGATGTCCCCAGAATAATTTGTATGTGTCATGGCTTGACACGCAGATAACCCAGAATCTGATAAATTGGACATAAAAATGTCAGACTGATGACCATGAGCACGAAACCAGGTTCTCTCGCAGCTCAATTTTTATATGAAGCAGCATCGCGCCCGATATGGTTATATTATTACAAACCCAATAAAACGCAGGCATGTTTGTTGGGAACCAGTCTTGTTGTGCCTGCAGATGGAAACACCGATTTTGACCGGATCTTCTCTTACGTTTTGACATCTACAATGCTGAATCATTGTGTTGCATCAAACAATACATTACAACACTACTGTTAACAATAACTGCATGCATCCGATTACTCACAATTAAACAACTTCCCGATCTTGTTACTCTCCTTCAGAATCCGGCGGGCCCCTTTGAGGTCAACTCCCATGTCCTTCTGAACCAACATCTCCAGCAGTTCGGGCACCAAGACCTCCTGGGCATACACAACGGTACCATACTTTGAGACAAGGGCATCGATCCCGGCCAGGGAGTCGATGTCACGTGCAAAATGACGCACGACATGCTCCGAGCTGGGAGTGAAGGTGTTTCTTGATGAGTCCGCGGTATGTGGATGGGGCACACTCACAGAATCCCATGGCCTCTAAGGCCATAGTAACCAGTCCTGTGCAGGACATTCTGAGAGAGGACCTTCCTGCCATGCTTCTGTACTTTCTTGTGCAACACACTCTTGTAGCGGGAGCGGTATCTGGGATCATTAAGAATCCAGCGCAGGCGAGGATGGAATTGAGTCAACCGATCATCAAGACAGTCCCACGCAATGAAGGGATAGCGATGTCGGGACCACTCACATCGTGCAGTCTCCTTCTGATGGTTCTCGCAGAACCGCAGCTGCTCCCCGACCGGCATGCAATTGTTGGGGGCATTGAACGCACCGGAAGCCTCCACCTCAACCACAGAATTGCACACCGGGCACATGGCGGTCACTGTTGAGGACAGAGATGGGGTGCAGGGCTCCGCCTTCGGCGTTGCTGGGTCTCGGGTTTGGGGTTGTCTGCCGGGATAGCGATGTGAAGTTTCCAGGGGCGTTGGCGGCTTCGATGTAGGCAGGGGCTCACCGGCTGACCCACTAACTAGTAGGTTCGCAAGGAGAGGAGAGCATCAGTACCCATTGCAAAACGTCTTCTAAGTATGATTCTCAAGCTCACCTCGTATGTAGCTTGGGAGCTACATACAGGAATCGGTGGGCGCGCTTACATTTCCCCTCCTGCCTCCACTCGTCCGTGGCGGGGATTGCTTGCATATTCTGAAGTGTTGTGTACCATCGCTGCCGCAAGGAGCCGAGTTGTCTCTGTGGAAACCGCTCCTTGATCTCCGGCCAAGAGAAGCCGTCCGTCTTCAGAGCCACTAGGCAGCCGTCCTCCTCTCGCGTCCAGCGACGTCTTTTCCCATCCGGATCATCGACCGCCCGCTCGCCGTAAGCTCTTTCGGTTTCGGCGGCGGTCATCATTGAACAGTCTGTGACCATCTCGAAAACGACTTGGGCCACCGCAGATGAAAGCATCAGAGCTTCCCCTCGAGCCAACAGAATGGGGCAACTGGGCGGCTCGGCATCGCTAGAAGATTGTGAGCAGAAGTGCGTGTCCGGCCATCAATCTGTGTTCCAGGGGGTTGTGGAACGGTCCTTCACAGCCGTCATTCGCACCCTGCTGTCTTCCCGTTTGACATCTTCACAACCTGAAGCGGCTGCTCTTGGGATCTGAGACCGAGGACGGCGCGATACAGCAGCGGATGGCTGTGTGGAAAGCCTGCGCCGCGTCGGTGGCGGCTTCGATGGATCATCCTCTTCGCTGCTCGCACGGTAGTCATCATCCGTCTACCTGGCAACCGCGAAGCGATCTGATTCCAGGTTGCAAGAAGTTGGTCAGAGAATTCCACGCAGAATGGAAGAACAAGCGGCCGTCGTTGACAACTCTGGCAGGCTATAGGCATTTCAAGCAGAGACAGAGATCGCGCAGGGCAGTGGACGCAAGATTGTAAAGTCGATTGGATAGAACCTTCATTAGTGTAACTATATAATATCATGCCATTTTTGGTTCTAATTTGTCCCGTACTATGCCTGTCTTATTTGTTTGCTCTTTGTCTTCTGTTTGCTTTTCATATTTCGTTCTGGCCTAGGAAGCACTATTGAGATTGCCTATCACATTCTAGAGCGGGGTCTATCTTCCCTACAACTATGGTATGGTATTTTCTTTGTTCGTGTTCATTTGTTTGTGTCTTGTTCATTTAACTCTGAGAGAACACTAAACAGATTTATCGCTAGTGAGGTTTCCGAGTTCAAATTGGGCGATCGTGTCATCATATGCCTTAATAATAGGATCGTATAAGCGGTTTGGGTCTTGGGGAGTGCCAACAATAAGACCTTTGTCATTGTAAGGAAAGAGTAGTTATGTCTCGTAGGGCCCCGCAAAGCTGTACAACACCACGGAACTTTGGAGGGAACTCCCTCAAAATGAACCCAAATCCCATATTTTCAGCTTTGCTCATATGGCCAAGCTTGGCGTTTGCAATGTCCTCATAGTTACCAGTATACCAGGCACGAAGTTTACTATCCTTGGGATGGTTATCCTTCCCCCAGCCATGACGGGCGCACTGCCAGATAAGCACGTAAAAGAAAGACTCGAGGTCGTGACGATAGGTATGGTCGATATTAAGCAGCACCTCGATCGCCATGAACTCCATCGTGCCGGTCTGGTGCCGTGCGCCGCTTCGCCCGCTACCGACTTCTTTGGCAAGATCCAGATCGATTAGCATGCCGGAGTGAGTGACCATCCGCCTTTTCCGGATCGGTTATTATTATGTTGTTCTCCGAAATATCCCGATGTAGGATGCTCCCATCCAGGTAAAGAGACCGATGCGCCTTTATTGCATCGCGAAGCGCCGTGAGCAGTTCTAAGGGTGACTCGTACTTGTAGATCGGCCGCCCAGCGGGCGAGATCACCAGACAGCGGAGGACGCGGTTGTCGTAGGGTTCCTCGCCATTCCTGTCGAAGAGGCTTGGCTTGTGCGCCGACTGAACGGAGAAAGCTAGTTCATTCTCCTGCTGGTTGTCCCTCGACGGTTGATTGATGGAGCGCGATCGTTTGGATGCCTGCATCCCTTTATCCGGAGATCTGCGTTTCCTGGAAGACGACTTTCGACCTAAGCTACGGAGCTCGGTGAGCCGCTGAGATTGATGAAATGAGGAGGCCGCACTGGGGGGTGCGCTTTTGAAGTCGTGTCGCTTGTCGTCGAAGGTCAGGCCGCAGCGCATGTCGGCGATGCTAGTGATGGTACTATGGCCAATGATCCTGGCGACCCCTTGGACATTTTTTTGACCCGCTAGCTCGAGGAGTTCCGCCTCCGACCGCCGCTTGTCCGACACCCACGAGAATTTGGCTACGCCCTCCACTTGTCCATCGTTTGCGAGAAAACATGTTGTCCCGCGACACACGATGGCACGCTGAAAGGAAAGCATTTCACCCAGCCGCAGCACCTTTTGCTCTGAGTTCCCAGGCCCTTTGACGGTTATTGATTTGTTGCCGCCTTCATCCCTAGTAATAAAGGTGTCCAGTCCCAGCTCCTCGTCGCTCATCATGGTGTAGCCCACAAGCACCTGAAAGAACCGTCTCGAGTCTGCGTAGACGTCGATGATGCCCGAGCTGTAGGGCCCCGAACGGTCGAACACCCACGCCTCCATCTTGGTCCCGCAGACGGCGAATGCGTGGACGAACCGCCGGGTGGGCTGCGCAGCGAAGACCTCGCGCACGCAGCGGCCCATCTGCAGCAGTGTGGTTTTGGTCCCAATCTTCTCCTTTGGCTTTCTGAGCTCGCCGACAACCAGGATGTCTCTCCAGTCGTGTTTGTTCCGCGAGGGGCTCGCGCCGCTAGCTCTCAGAAGGAGGTCGACTTGCCGTTCCGCATTCGAACCCGTAAGATCCGCTTTGCTCGCCGTGGTGTAGTAGGTGCCGCGTGATTCCGAGAGAAGGTCTTCTTGAAGACGAAACCACCAGGCAAGGACATCGTCCTGCGTAGGAGGATCAGGAAACTGGGCCCAATTCCCATCGCTGTCTGGGGCCAGCACGCGTCGACAGATGGCATCTGCTTTGCCGCTCCAGTCTTTTCCCTCAAAGTACTTGTCGAAGAAGCCCTCGACGTCTCGAAAGGTGCAGCCACGTATCTCCTCGAAGATTCTCGGATTCACCAACTCACGCGTCTGCTCGGAGCCTTTCTGCGATGACGATGTGGATTTGACTGGTGTGCCGTCATAGGAGGGGGGGACGCTCGCCGGTGGTGGTGTTGTTCGAGGGATGGTGTCAATGAGGGTAAATACAGCTTTCCAGACATCGAAGTTCCAGGTTTTGGCGTTCTGGGATTCAGTGGGAGGCCTTTGAATAACCAGGCGCACCAGCGGCTGCCACATCGAACCTACCCCGATACGTCTTCAACCCAACCAGATATTGATTCTCTCCGCCGATTTAACAATACAGTATCCACAGGCAGGGGGAGGAGTCGGTGTTTTCATGAGGCTATTCCCACTTACGTGAAAGAGGCGCCATGGAGATTAGAATATTCTATATGATAACATAGAGCAATGGCTCACAATACAGTCCATTCAGTTCCAAATCAGAAATTGCCAAACACAGGATCAATTGCACTAAAGACGGGATCGCAATCCCAATTGGTAGTAAAGAGCACTGGGTCATGCTCATAAAAATTGGCGTATGTCCCATCATCTACCATCGTGACCGGTCGCGAGGAGCCACCGGGTCCGTTGTAATCCGCCAAAATGTCAGTGGAATCAGACATTGAGCTTGTTGGGGATGTGCTGCAGGTGTTTTCTACTTGGCACGAGGTTCCCAGGTGGATGACCGTCGTTTGATGTACAAAATCATTGGTCGAAATGCGATCTAAAACCTGTTAGAGCCCTCAGGGAAGCAAAGAGACCGGGTTTAAAATTGAATGGGTGGATAGTGTGGGATGGTTGATCTTCTCATTGTGCGATCGCTAGCTAACTATATATAGGGGTAATCACGTGCGGTGGAGGGCCGCCTGGGCAACTAGTGCCCAACAGATAGTACCATCGTCTTCCCATCTCACATAATTCCTCACTATGTCTAGTAGACAGCTCTGAGCTTCTCTAAGAAAGGAATAATTGTATTTTCCTTTTCCATATGTGCTTAGCCCATCAAGTATGATTTTTGCGGCTAAGATGCACTTCTCATTCCTCTTTTCCCGAGAATTTTCCATTCTGAACCAGTTGCTCACTACGTCATTCATAGCTGACTGACTTCTCTTTTCGACGACGATACTCCGTATATTACACGCAAATGATCACCTGACTACAAGATATTGCCATAAATTACCGCTCCATATTGGCCAATCAAAATATCCAAGCCGCAGCACCCCCGCCATCCCACTTCTCATCGTTGTCGGTAGAAGAAAAAAAGGATCAAAAAACATCTCAGGAAATCTTAGACCTCACAAAGTACCTTTTACAACCTTTTGCGCTTAATCATACGTGGAGTTATCACATCCTTCACTAATGACAGAGGACGTCGGATTCGATCTTATTCCGTGTGATCCGGCGGATGAGACACTTATCGCCGCTGCAAAGGAAGAGTTCAAGGCTGAGTTGAACGCGGCCAGCAAAGCTTCATCCAAGGAAGGATGGGTTCCTGTGAAAACTTTCGGAGCAAAATGTGATGAACTCTTCCATCATGGCGTGGATGTAAGTTTGCAATCCCGAGCACAGTATAGCAGTTTTCTAACTGAAATGAAGCTGGCCAGCAATACTTTCCTCGCTCGGCATTGCGGGTCATACTTAGACGCACCCAAAGATACGCTCATTATCTCGATGGTGTCAAACGACCGACAGCTTCCTTTTTGGAAGTTAGCACCGGGAAAGGTCTTGATATTTAGACCGGTGGACGATGAGCTGTCGGAAGAGGCCGGCTTTCTAAGATATATCGAGGGCTCACACAAGATATCAAATATGGAGGAAGCTACCCGAGCACAGGGGAAAGATATTCGAGTGAGGCTAGATCAAATGCTGATAATGGACGGAGATTCGGTTATACGATGGCCCAAAACAGGCGGAGGAATATGTATCTTGCAGGGAGTTCTGAAGAAGGCATAGGAGAATCAGAATCACGCGTTTTATCTTTATTGTTTAGGGCAGTTAGAACTTACCATAACTCCAAGTAGCCCTGTTCAAATAATGTATGAGTGTTTGAGCTAACCTGGCTCGAGTTGAACAATGTTGAACCCATGGTCGGATCGGAGTCGATCTGACCAAATAATATCGAGCTCATTGTTGGATCGGGGTCGATCCGACTGAATAATGTCGAGCTCATTGTTGGATCGAGGTTGATCTGACTAAATAATGTCGAGCTCATCGTCGGATCAGCGTCAATTCCTATTGAACTTGTTGATTCACACTGGTTACGCCAAACAAAAGCCGCTTCGTTCCCGGGAGCAGCGTAGTGTAGCTCAAGCGGATTATGAGACATTCTAGTTGAATTTGGGTCTGTAGTATACTCGCTCTCAGGCGGAGCATTGTATCCAAGAACGTGAGGAGGGACAGGATTGGAGTATTCTATGGGTGATGACGTGGCTGGGTGCGTCGGAGCTGTTGATTTCTGTGCTCGTGGGGCACGCTGGTCTAGCCGCAAGATCCAGTCAGTCATCCTCGGGGAAATAAGAGGGAGTGAGGACTAACGTACTATCAAAATTGAGATGATTGTCCATGTTTCCGCTGCCGCCAGAATCTACTACAGGTGATATATTAAGCTGGGCGGAAGGTTCGGTATTCCGTGGAACAAAACTATTGTCAACAGTTTGGTCGAGGGTGCCTATACATATATAATGTCAGCACAGATGGTCTTGCGGATATGGTATCAACCAAGAGTGATTAGTTTAAAACTTCTTTGACTGACCCTCTGCTATGAACGGGCCTTCAGTCCCAGTCCCACCTCTATTCGACAAATCTTCAACCCCCAGTGCTAGTTTGTACACTAGGTTATTTGTATTGTCAGCTTCTAAAGGTTCCCATGTTTGTGAAACTACTAGGTTTTCATGGATTGCATTTGGTGGACTCGCAGTAATATTCTGCTGTGTTGCGCTGTCGTGAGCCGAAGCTACCGAAGTTACCGCTGCCACGAGAAGTTGCATTGACGTGTGGCACTCGTTAGTCGTGTCGGATTGATGTTCTTCAGAAACCTCCGCTCTCAAGCCGGGGCATGGCCGTTTTGCACTGAATTCGTCACACTCCCCGTGCCTCTTAGGGGCCCTCGGGGAAACGAAAGCATCTTCCACCAGAGATTGATGTCTATCCTTTAGCCCCTGAACAATACTATCCCCAAGTGCATAGAGGTCCCGCTCGCACATGACATTTTGAAAACCGATCTTGATGAGATGTTGTGCGGCTGATTTTTTATGTTTACGGTACCGTCTTTCGGTGTACCTGGGTCATATTAGTCGTGAACCGTTTGATGGAATAGCTGACTTACTCGGTTTCTGAGACATCGAGCGGCAACAGAAGTAGACAACCTGGATGCCCGTTAAACTCCATAACCCATTCAGCATATCCACGACCCAGCTCAGCCCAGAGATCAAGTTTGCTTTCAATATTATTAACTTTTAGCTGAAGTGATGGAGACTGCTTTATGACTTTTTTGGCCAGTGTATTTCGTGCACGATACACCCATCTGTTGCCATCATGGTATCCACAGTTTTGGATTGACTGGAAGAAATAGTACAGGTCGAATCGTCGGCGAATCCTGAGAACATCAGCATTCACTTCACACTGGTGAATCTTGCGAAACAACGCGCCCCAACCTGATGCCTTGGGGACGTTTTGCGGTTGGTCTTCAAAGAAGGTCTCATGGTTCTTTGTCCATTCCTTCAAAACTTCCTGTAGTGTGCCGGGAATGGTGGCGACCGATAACTTGAAGACTTTATAAACGTTCGTCACAACGCCTCCAGACGAGCCTCCCGCATCGCTAGAGAGCTCTTTATCGCCAGAAGAATATGTCAGGTTTCCCAATGAGCCTCCTGTCAAGCCGCTAGATGTGTCACCATGGTTGTGCGAACCACACACATCCTGTCTGTCATCCGTTGATCTATTCTGGTCTCCGGTATGCAAAATTGCAACAATTTTGCTCAAGGTTAACTTCTCTAAGGCCGGGAGAGAATGGTAACAAAATTTGTATATGTCAGGCGATAAGTATTCCTCATTCTCATTGAAGAAGTGAGCAAGTTGATTGAGGAGGCTACCAAGCTGCGCGATGACTTGTTCTGGGTGATCCGACATCTTGATAGCCAGGAAGAAATAAAATCACAGTTGAAAAGTGCGAGAATCGAGTCTCCCAGCCTCGTTTCGTCTTGTTGTGCCTAGCACCTGACATTACCGCCAAGATTTTGCGATGTTTTTGATGAATCGCAGAATCTTGGCGGTCCATGCACGCCAAGTTCTTGTGATCAGGGAAGCGTGCTGTGGATCCCACTGTTAGGTATGTGGTCATCGGGAAATTTCCCCCGTCTTCCAGGAGCGCCCTAGCATGCCTCCAGCGTGGCTGCTGTTGTGCTCTTCACCTAGGCTATTGCAATACATGTGGAATGGTGGCTGCAACAGCAAAGCCCAATGCCCAGGAGTATGCAAACCAGGGGGCCAGACTGCGTCGGGGCACCGGGAAACTTGCGTTCATCAACTGGGTGCGCGAGTGCGATATACAAACCCAGCTTGAGTCCGTGCCATCCTCATGCAAAGGGATCACAACATGATGACCTAGACTCCCGACAAGAGTGATATTGAGCCCGAAAATGGTCTTTTTGGATTTGCCTTCGCCCAATGAGGACAGTGGTCGATTGCCGCTGGTGTACCATCACCCGGACTATCTATGCTATTGCAGTATGTGCGGGATGCCCCGGAAAAGACCAGGAGCATGCGAAGTGCAGTCGGGGGCGCCAGGCTGTGTCGAGGGCACGGCTTGCGTCGATCACCGTGGGATCGCGTGCGATATACATGTCCAGCTTGAGTCCGTGCCATCCTCATGCAAAAGGATCACAACAGATTAATAACAATAGTGTAACTATTTGTACAGACCCTGGACAAGTTTTTGCTATCAACGTTTGCGGAAATGAGGACGGCATACCCCTTCGACCATCGAAAAAGCCCCCATTCGAGGCGCACAGAGGGTGGCTGCCCGAGAACTATAAACCACATCACATCGCTCCGCGACGGATCATTTCAAAATGGGCTGACTTGGCTGCCTTTTCTTACAAAATGTATGCTAACATCTCATATGCGCTTCTGTCGTTAGCGCTCATCGTGTTAAGTGCGGTGCATCTCATCCTGCTTACCGTTCACCGCCCCCAGCCTCACCGTTTGCCTGAGATATCAATCTTCGTTCTCTTCATCTGCGTCAATGCTGTTGTCATTGGCATTGGTCTATCAGGCTTAAGACGCGGGGGTGAGCAGTCCCTTCTACCGGGATGGTGATGATAAATGCTAAATGCTTGTTTCAGATACGCCAGCATTCTACTATCCCCTTGGGAATATGTACAGCATTTCCGCTAGCCCTTGAGGTATGTTATTCCCAGTCCCCTGTTTTGGTCCTCGCTAATCGCGACGTCTAGATGATTCGGCAGACCAAAATCCAGGCTGGACCTCTTACGAACGCCCTGCTGCATCGATTATTTCTAGGATATGGTTTTCCGTCCCCGGCGGTAAAGCTCGGGTTGATCTTATGGTGTGTGTGCTCTTCTCCCCAATCTTGATAGGCCTTGTGCTCATTGAGTTAGCTCGGTCGTCTACGAGGCGTCGGTGAAAGGTACAGCTGTGGTCGTGTCTATCGACTACACGGTACTTGTGATTGCCGGTCTGCTTTTTTGGCGCGGAATTCGCGGTATACCATCTCAGGGCCCCGTAATCCGTGAAGTTACAATCCATGCACTTCTTGTTCTCGTAACAGCAGGGTTTGCCGCAGGTGAACTCGTCCACGACTGGCCCTTCTGGATCGAAGTAAGTTCAGTGAAACCACAGCTCTCGCTCCAATATGTGCTGACATGGCTCTTAGGTGATGTTGATTATCACTCTTGGTGCCTATATGGCTCGAAATATCTCCGCTCAGTCTATTGAACCGGGAAACGCAGTGCCGTTAGCGAATTTCAGCAATGACACCATTTCCTGTTTCTGATTGCATTGGAATGTGGCTGCCTGTGGATACTAGTTGGTGTAGCAAGGGCCCATGCTCTTCTAAATTTACTTGCTTCTAATTGCTTGAATGTTGAATAGTTTCAGCTATTTCCATTTAATACCATAACAATATTAATTGACCTAACTTGCAGGTTTCATTTCTGCTCCCTCCTTGTCTTTGTCCTTGCTGGGAAGCTTGTCGTGCGGCTGGATGCTTCTACTTCACAAAATAGGCGAACCCATAAGTATCCTGTTTGACGGGCTTATCACCCCAGAAGGATATTAAAGGTAAAGACTCAAGCACAATTTCTCCAGAGCTAACACAATATTCTTCGCTTGCATGGTCTGGCGAAGGTACAGTTGAGTACGCAGTTACTTTAGGCACGGCAGCAAGCAAAGTGATTCTGGTTTTGAGAGGTATATGGTTTTCTTAGAATGTTCTTTTCATTGTGTGGCTAACACCTCAGATAGGCGGAAGAGAACAAGCACCCTAGCGATGCGAGAAAATGCAGAACCCAACAAAAGAACCGACAGATCTCAAGATCGAGATGACGACCAAACCACGGCCCATGTTCCACAGACCGAAATAGGGAGGAAAAGGCGAACCGAAGTTCGCCAACGTCTGAGGCTCTACTGCTGTGTATGTAGGGAGGATGTTAGCAGCGGGGGGGGGAATGTCAACTATGTGGCCATACATCGTGTCCGGAGTGTTTGCACGAAAGGAGACTGCGTAGGGAAAGATCTGTTGATCGATCACACAAACCGAACCAAGCGAATAGATGTCATGATGCTTAGACAAACAACCAAACGCGCGCAGTCCCGGCGACGCTTAGCCAAGCTATCGAGATCGATGAAGACCCGGAAACAGAAACAGACTCTGTGCTCGAGATGTTGCCTTATTCTAAACTGAAGCAGAAGTGGAGAGAGCAACAACAAAAACGGCAGACCTGGGTTAATCGAGCCATCAAGTGCTGCAGCTGCGAAGTAACTGGCTCGGCGGTCAACAAATGCGCATGTGAGCATGAGTATTGCGGAATATGCTTTCATTATTCTGTTGACTAGTTGCAAGGAAAATGATTGGTTAACTACCCAAAAATAGAATCTTGCTGGTTACATTTTCACAGACTTTCAGGTCAACAATTTTTCCGACAGCTTAAGCACACAGAATGCCTTCATAAAAAAGCTTCTCTAGATTTTGACCCTATCAGCTTTCAGGCCAGTTACAATATTTCAAGATGTAGAATGTATATTGCAATAGGTTAGGTGACAGCACAACTAATTATGACTACCCTTTGTGTGTCTCGTTCACCGAGAGATAATCGAGGGGCCATGCAAATATCGGCTCCGGTTGGGCGAGGTGTATCTGCTCTTAACATTCCAAAGGTGATAAGAAGCGGTTCTTGCCTCCATTGACATCCCCTTAAAATATTTCCCACAAGCCAACCCGGCAGATTTTGTCTTGTGGAGGTGGTGAGTTCCACACCACCTATCCATTCTCTCTATACTAAGAAATTTCAGGAGCCCAATTCCCTCGGCGTGAGACAGTCAACCACATGTTCAACCCACCAGCGAAGATATCGCGATAGAAATTTCACTGGTTGTTTGACCTGCAAGGCAAGGCATGTCAAATGTGATGAAGCAGCACCTGCCTGTCGCAACTGCATAAAAAGGGGTTTGCACTGCGATGGCGCCCAGAATGAAATACTCTTCAAATTCTTCGACCCCAGCCAGGCGTCGTCCGGTTTTGTAAAGAGACAGCATAAAGCTTTTAGAAGGGAAACGGCCAAAAACCACGGTGTCTCCAGCTCACACCCATTGCCATATAAGGACCCAACTTCCCCCTGTCTACGTTCCGTGGATTTACAAAGTGAGATCCACGCTTCCACAGAATCTCTTGCCATGGTGAGTCTGCTATTCTTCACCTACTTAAGGAGAGCGCAGCTAACGTAGGCAAGGACAACCCCACCACTGGTGACGGCAAGCCCCCGTTTCAATCTACTCCCAATGATGAGGCTCGCGATCTCCAGTCCCATTCATCCAGCTATAACCCGTACTCGATTGATGAAGCTAATTGCTACTCAGACTATTCTGATATCGTTGGTGATGTATGGAATACAAATGGAATTGACATCACCAATGCTAATTCTAAATAGATATGTCGCGGCGATGAAAATGCACCCTTGGCTTTCATTGTTTTCATCTCAGAGCCTGTACTTCAAGAGCGGCTGGAGTATCTGAAGGCTCATACTTCAGAGCTGCACAAGCAACGCAGTGTTTTTCGCACATTCTCCGAGCTTAGAGTTGATGGACCTCTGGCATTACCATACGCGCTCTGTCTGGTAAAGACTCTCCGACAACACGCAGGGCAGCAATTGTTGATGAACAGATTGAATGATACCATCCTCTTCCTCTCCACACGATTGAGAGGGCTGCTGTCAACACATCTGTTATATACTCATCGAGATCGCATAAGTCGTGCATCACTTCTACTTCAACGACCGGTGTTCTACAAGCGTTCAGACTTGCCAGGAAATATCTGGCAAGAGAGCACTGTTTTGGATTTCAGCCTGGATGGCCTAACTGTGACATTGCACCTTAGTAATTATCGCGTTCTCAAAGTGTCTGATGAGCTTTGGAAGGGGTTCAACTCCTTGGCTTCGGGTATTGCTGATCCGGCCGTGATGTTTGGCGTTGGCTAATGTATTTTATGACTTTCTCGGCCGGTTTGCTACTGCAGGAGGATAATGTTGTTGGTTAATTTTATGTTCAGGTACAAAGATTTAGGGTTGCCGTAGTACCATCCAATCTCCTAATTCTTCACTCATTCGCATTCGCCTATTAGCATACACACTCTTAATGATGATTTTTCACGCCGGGACCCATATAACGCCTCATTGCTGGCGGGAGAACACGAAGAATCGAGGGGTGAGCTGCTCAAAATGAGACGCATCCTATTTACACGCTGGTTGCATGCACTGATCCCATAACTGGTACATGTACTGTAGGCCATTAGCGCAGACTAGGGGCCGAAGGCAAGGCATATAAAACTATGGCAGGGGCAGCCATTCCAATAGATTGTTTAATCACACTTTTTTTTTTCTTTTTCTCCCCTTCTCCGTTTTCCTTGTAAGCAAGAGTGGGCGGATTGGTATGGTATAAGAATGCTTGATTGCCCAGTGTGTCTGCCCTGGATCATTCAACCAAACCTTTATTCCTACGAAGTTTTCTGAGGCACGCACATAAAACATCATTGGCATTATAGAAGATAGGTAAAGAATCCCTTACACACCGCAATGCAGGTATCAAGGTTTGCTCACAAATCTATCAGGTACCGTAATGGCAGCTACAGTCCATGTCTACCGCATTCACGATCCGGAACCCTCCGTGATTCCTCGCACTGGGCTATCCCCTCAGTATGCCTATGGAGCCCATGTGTTTCGTTGGAAAGGGTATTTGTTTATCACCTCCAACAAGAAGCCGAATGTCTCCGGAGTCCAAGACATTTCTTTGAAAGGGCTCAGCGATGAGCAAGGCTTTCTCCACGCTGCAGCTGCTTCTCGGAAAGCACCTCAAGTTGTTGAACAAGCATATCTGGAGATTATAAATAACGAAGAGCTCGCAGGAGAATTTACAGCCGTCTGTGACCGTTGCGATGCAGTGATGATCGAGTATCTGGAAATCGTGAAGACCGAATGGTTGAAATTTGCCGAGGCATTCGAGTCTGGGCTCCAATGCCTTCTTCAAACGACTAAGGAGGCAGAAGTAGAGAAGGCCCTAAAGCAGTTGAAGAATTGTCTGCATATCCTCAGAGATAGCATGGGAAACGTCACCCACGAACAACAAACGGAGAACATCCAACACCCCAAGAGCTGGGCGCTCGACTCCCTCCTCTGTCTTCTCGGGGATTGTCTAGGCAGGATGGAAATGATCAAATGGGCATTCGATATGGCTAAACCATCTAAAGGGCCATATGACCTGCTCCGTCTTCGGGGTGATTTGATGTACATCAAGGGACGATACAAGCAGGGGATAGGGGAACTGGACGAGAACCTGGCCCGTCTGACGGCAAATGACGATGCTGCAACATCAACCCTGGTAGGTACTTCCATTTCACCTGCTGCTCTTCTCCGCTCACCGTTTCCAATAGACCGGAAGGCCTACTGTCCACCAAAGTCTTCTGCATCTATGCATTGTTCTTCTTGAGTCCCAGCCTTCAATCACAGCCCACCGCCTCAGACGGCAGCTGGATATTATGAACTGGCAGCCAACCAACTGGGAAAAAACCTGCAATGAATCCGATGATCTTTCTGATGACAATTACCTTGATATCGCGCTTACTTTAGAGGACCTCGAGGCATTTGAAGGCATCAAATTAACAGGAGAGATGGTGAAGGAACAGTACACAGCTCTGATGAGAGAACTGAGAAGGCTTGCTGGTGATATAGCGCCTGGTGTACCCAAAAGTGATGATTTTTCTCTCGCTGCGAACGTGATCCTAATCTGCACATGTATTGGGGTCCATGCGGTCGCCCCCCAGCTGGAGGACGATTTCTATGCCAGGACGGATTTTGAGAATCATGCTGCTGAGCTCAGCAGATCGCCACTGTAACTACCGGGAAAAGCGGATCTCTTCTGAGGGCGCAGCAGACGAACTCGACCGCATTATCCTCCCTTTACGACCCAACAGAGACCCGGCTCCGTCCCCTGAAATCAAAGACAGCGATGTCTCTCGCCTACCGCTGCCTGAGAGGCGGTTGGGTAAAAGACTGAGTGATGGCGATTTAAGCCAACAGAAACGGTCGAAAATGTCAGAGGCAAGTGATTTCTGGTGAAGTTGGTTGTTCTAGCTAGGCGAGCTACAAATGATGCCGGACAATCTTTTGAATTCTATATTGTTTCGTAAATATCAGGCGCAATTGGGATGTTTGTTCCTGGTTGATACTTTGTTAAAATCAAAGAAAAATGATTGGTCAAAATAGAAAATCCTTGCTTTGCGCCAAATGAATACTTGCACCCGGAGTTTCCTGGTTGATAATTTTGTTAAATCAAAGAAAAATGATTGGTTACTCAAAAATAGAATCATCCTTGCTTGTGCCAATAAGAAATAGTAAATTCCGGATGCTGAAAACCTCAGCTATGTCAAATTCTAAACTATAAAGAAAACCTTCAGTGTCAATGGATGAAACCAAATCTTCCGGTCGGAGCGGGTTTGAAGATGCCATTGGTGCATTCTGTTGCAATGTCTTTAATTGAATCAACAAGAATTTTTTTTTTTTTTGGGCTGATTGGGTTGATGACGTCGGGTGGGCGAGCATACCATAATTTCGCGGAAACAAAGTGTCGAAGCTGGAAATGCGTCCACATCAATTGCACGCTCACTATTTCGCCACGTACCTACCTACACAACGATGTCCCATATGATGATCTACAGGAAAATCGAGCCCTCCAGCGAACGCACCTCCCTCCTCTATGAACACACCAGTCAATCCGTAAAAGTGATTGGTCAGCCTCAAATGGGCGGTTCCTACCAACCTGCTTAGTGGCTTTGATTTTAAGGACTGGGTAGTTCGTCTTGGGTCGCGTCTTCTGACGTGTGACGGGCAAACGTTGATGGGCAAACGTTGATCCGTGTTATTTTGGGCAAGATGACTGTCATTATTTCGCTTCTCCCCACCACGACAGGATTATCGCTAAATTCCTCGTACCCATTTCGCCTTTTGATATAACTCTTAATCCCTCTCTAATGGCTGATAACAGTTCACCAGATTACGAGGCTCTCTACCGTAAAGCGGAAGCGGAATGAAGGCAGGCAGAAGAGTTGAGAAGACAGGCAGAAGAGCGAGAGAGACACGAAGGAGAGTTGCGAAGGCAGGCAGAAGAGTGGGAAGCACGGGAGAGAGTGTGCAGCCAGCCGACAACACTAGAAGAGCTCATCAAAGGTTGTCATGATTCATTCTCCTGGCCTTTGCAGGTTGGAACACCAACCTGCTCCACGAAGGGGAGTATTCCACCACCCACTGGGAAATACTGTCCAATGAGCCTTCGCCTTTGGTCAAGTTGTCCGGTTCAACTGCAAGAAATTTATGATGTGGTTTCCACTTACCTTCAACCAGCTGGAAAAGACACACCTCAGCTATTCACATCTCTTCTTGAGCTAGAGGGACTTGGTCGGCAGTATTCTAGTTGAAAACTACAAAGTGAAAAGGATCTGGAGAACTACGAACGAGCTGCAGTGGAAGACCATGTTCAAGATATTATAACCAAGCTATGCAAAATACCTGATGCTCAAGAGAGATTTCAGCTTGGTGATGGAATCCTGTTTGAAAATCATGAAAATCTTCTACAGACATCAGAAGAGTCAGATGTACAGCTGTTTGATGAATCAAACACAAAACATCTCAAATCAGATTCATTCTGTATTCATCGAATCAATGATTCAACCAATACTTTGATTACAACAGTTGAGTATAAGCTGCCACACAAGCTCTCAGTTGAAAATCTCCAAGCAAGTCTTCAATCAATGAAGCTCTGAGAAGAGGTTGTTCAGTCAGACACAATCTTCAAGAGTGATGAGCTGAACAAAGATGAAAAGCTGAGATATAATGCAGAACAGCTAACTTGCTCAGTTTTGATTTAGAAATATCATATCATGTCCAAGCTGAACTGAAGTATTTCTACATAATTAATGAATTTGCTATCATTCTTCTTTATGTTCCATACAATGACTCTAGTACACTCTATTACTATCTCTGTGAACCAAACATGGATGTGATTTCAGAAAATCCTGGGGTCTTTTATCAATCAAAGACAGCTATTGTCAGAATATTATGTCTCTGTCTGATGTCCTTTCTCTCAGATATCCATGACCAGAAGTGGTGTAATGCTGCAAGATCCCAGCTCCATATATGAAAGACAAGTTTTGACTTTACACAGTTGCAAATCCCCAATGACAAGCTGCAACAAACTCCTCCAGAATTGGAATATGCAAGCTCAGAATATATGCCCTCTGAACATCTGCCATCATCTCCATTACAGCCTGGCCATCAAGTTTCTACCTGATCTCAAACCGCCTGTGCACCAATGGATACCTTGCCTTTGAGTGATCATATGGATTCTTCCGACTCCGACTCTAACCAAGCAGCACACAGTCAGAAGCAGGGCTTCAGCCAAGTGATGTCCTCCTCACCTGGCCAGTGTTCATCGGCGCGCCCAGCAGGTCCTAGGCCATCAAGCGGCCAGAGCCAAAACACAGCACATTACTGTACACAGCAATGCTTATTGGGTTTGCAACAAGAAGGTGAATTGGATCATCAATGCCCTAATGTTTCTCTCCACCGGTGAGGCCAGAATGATCTTCAACATTGTATTGATGCAAGGAAGCTTGTGCAAATAATAACTTAATTCAAAGTACAAATTTTTGATTACTCCGCGTAAACCAGTCAACAGAGTCTTGAAACATTGTATATTCATTCTACTGCATACATTCTGTTCTCTCTATTGCAGATATCCCCGCGGCCCATCTTGCCATTCATCTTTAGATGATGAGTAGGTCAACACAAGAGTGGAAGTAGCAGACAGTTTCTGTAACCTCACTCCCTTTTACAACCTTATTTGCTCTCAAGATGTATTGTTGGATTGGCTTTCAAGAATGAGTCATCCTGTACTGCATTTTCCATACCTCAATGATACTGGAGGACTC